TATATATATATATATATAAAAGAATAGTTTAAGAATATGAAAAGATTAGTGTAGAAAAATTTTAGTATCTATCATTTTATATTAAAAAAATAAAATGATAAAAATTTAAAATTTTTATAAATATCTATTAGTGAAGAATATTAATGCACAAGTTTTTTGAATCACTGCTTTATAAAAACGCATACCAACTATAAATCTAACCTAGTTAAATAGAATGATGAGTTCACGTCAGTCATAATACTAGAAAACTTGTTTTTCTAAATGTTTGTAAGTTGATCAAGTAATCACAGAATTAGTTATGTTTGTGAATAAACTATTCAAATTAGAATGAAATTATATATACATTACATACTATTATATATATAATTGTAATATAGTCTTTTGTTAATCTAATTAGCTAATTTAAATTGTATTCATTTTTGTTTTAATTTTGAATTTTAATGATTTAAATAAAATATTTTAAATTTAAGAATTATAAGGAGATGGACTTTCTTTCAACCATGTAGAGGGCATTCTATGATCTTCCATACATCTTGCATTAAGATGTATATTTTGTAAAATTCTTTTCTTTTGTTTTTGAATTGTTATTTAATGTATTATCGGGATTGAAACAAGATGTTAAATGCTGCAATAGACGTGTGCATTTCACAATGTTTCTAGCTTTTAAATTTATGTTCTATTTTTTAAAAATTCATTTGATTATATTCGCATTCTTCGAACCTGAGGATGATGCTTAAAATGGAAGAAAATATTTTTTTTCATTTTATTTTTTGCTCGTTTATTGGTTTTTAAGTCTAGCTGTGGTTATTTACTTGAATAATTAAATTTTTGTTTTCAATTTTTTTTTAAAATTTTTATATTGATGATTAATAAACTAATATTTACGTAAGAAATTCAAAGACCACAGTAAAAAACTGACTTTTTAAACTATGAAAATTAAACTGAAGGCTTCTAAACATTATTAACAAAGTATTACTGTAGTATTTAAAAATTAAAAAGTACATTAAAATATTTTGGTATTCATATTGTGTGTTCATTTTAAAGGATTTTGTATTTGAATATTCAAAAAAGCCAATGTTTTTCAAAATACTCAAATATCTGATGGTTTTCAGTTTCGTATTTATTACCAAACAAACATAAATTTTAATGTCAAATGGTTAATTTGTACTGTGTAATGGTATGAACTAACAAATTATATTTAATTAAAATTTATGATATTTATTTGTTGATAAATATGATTGACTGATATAGTAGATATAATTTTAGAGTTAATCTTCTGTTGTGTTCTTTTATTAGACTTTAATTTGTATATGTCCTGTGAATTTGGTCTGTTGTAATCCTAAATATTTTCACTTTTCCTTCATTCATAGATTCAATGATGTCTTTGAGTGCAAAATCATTATTTTAAAAAACCAAAATAATATTTAATTCTTAAATATTAGTTCATATATTTAAGTGTTATGGTCTATTTGGAGTTATAAATTGGACATGCAAACAACTAGAACATCTCCAAAGGAAAACATGAACAACATTAACCAAACACAACAAACACCACCTTAAGTTGTCCCTAGAAAAGGATGAATCTTCCTCATAAAGAAGAAGGACAGATGTTTTAAACCTACAGTACAAACAAATACAGACACTGAGATTTTTTTTCTACAGAAAGTAATTCAGCTTTGTATAATTCTGATGTGTGTAACTTTTCCAGATAAAAACAGTACACCATTAAACTTACATAACACTGTCTTGGATCTAATATAATGTGCAAAATGCACAGACACCATCAGGCAGAATTGGATTCAGAAGAAATACCACGATAGGCAGCCCAATGATCTTAGCCAAGATCATGTTGATAGAACTGCATCAAACTGGCTGAATTATAGATGTCCTTTTGGGGAGACTGAAGAATTCATGACTGTCATACAAGACCTGGTCATAAATAGGAAAAACTTGTAGAAAGCACATCTTAAAAGACAACCACTTAAACAGGTGACACTTCTAGGAAATGTCACATCATGCACAAGACCATACAACACATCACATCAGATTGCAAGCTTTTGACACAAACTGAATACTTACATCAACTAACCAAATAGCAAATATACTTGTAATACATCAAAAACATGCACATAAACACAAACTATTATATGTTCAGAAACCATACTACAAATATCCAGCACACCTTAGTGCATTGTGTATGTTATTTTCTATAAATGTCTATTATTGTGTCTTTAATTGTGTCTATAATTTATTTAGTAATTAGCATTAAAATAGCATGATTGATTTTTGGCATTCGGTTGGTGTATTACTATATTGGATATCGGGTTTGGAGATGTTTATTTATATTATGATTGTGTCATAATCACAAACAAAACAATTCATTACAATAGATCAGACATCGCATTCATTGATAAACAAAACAAAATTGCATACATAATAGATATAGCTGTTCCAAACACTAACAACAAACAAAATACATACACTGAAAAAATTAGTAAATACTCGGAACTCATCTAAAGTGTCTTTGGAGAATGGATAAAGTACTGTACTTATAGTGCTAATACAATCAACTTACATTAATGTTTTTGAATAAATATACTGTCCAAGCATGCATGGAGAGATATGCTGCGATGCAGCAAAAAACAAAAGAATAATTTTTATTTTTATGAATGTTCTATAAATATTCAAAAAAACGTACTGTAATATATTTTCAGTAGATGTATATATATGCAACTGAAATTTAATATAACAATCTCATTTTAATTTTAAAAAATGAGTATTTTTAGTTTAATTAAAAATATACTTTTTTTTGTTTGGTTCAATGTTATGACTTGGTGAATTTATTGACACTTGGCAAATAATTTCATCATCAACTTTTAATCCATATAGATATGCATTTTGGGCTTTTGCCCTTCTTCAGTCTGTTACATAGATAGGTTGTATCTTGTAAAAATATACTGTTGACTTTTTATCAATTTCTATTGAATGTTACTGTTTAATGGAAATGTATTATTACATATCATATTTACTCTCATATAAGATGAGATTTTCATTCATTTTTCACTGCTTCAAAACTTTAGGTTGAAGTTATACACACGAGTGAAGGATTCTTTTTGTTTTTGCAATAATTTATGTAAACTGTGTATTTGCATTTTTTACCAGATTCTCACCTTCTGATATTTAAAAACAAAAGTATTTTATCTGGGTTGTTTGAAATGTTCTTGTGTATTGTCGGGAATAAAGATGAATAGCAATATGAAAAGCAAAGCTTTTGACTTGCATTCCAAAATTACATGGGAGCCTGATATAAGTTTTAATCCATTCCCACGTGAAAACAGATGATTATTTGGAAATCAGAATTTGGAGAAACTCTTAAGTGTAATTGATGAAGAGTGACTTCGACTGTTAAGAATTGGCAAAAAAGGTTCCCGTTTGTCCAACTTTACATGAACAAATTATGTTGTCAATTTTACAAGATTTTTCCTTGAAGTTTAAAAGCCCAGTAATTTTTGTGGGACAATTTATGCATTTACATGCAATTGATATTTTATTTGTGATTAAACGAAATAAAATTAGAATTGTATTAATAAATCTAATTTTCTTTATTTTGATCTTTAATTAAAGTCACACCTCATCCTATATGCAAGTTTGTCTTATATGCTAGTAAATATGGTATTTTTAATACATTAAATAAAGATTTTATAAAAAGATATGAAATTTAGTAATATTAATAAAAATATCATATTCCTTAATTTCCTCATTTGATTAAATCCCAAGAGGGTTAGTTTTAAATAGACTCTCTGGTGGTTATTTGAAGTCCTAGGGTTTTTGAGATTGGGTTTTGTTACTTTGCAACAGGTGATGAATGGATAAAAATTGAAAGAGATACCTTAATTATTCTTTTATTTTCAGAACTATCAAAATTGTGACTGTATTTATGGATTGCAGCTATAGCAATTGAAATAATTATTGTTTTTGCAATTAATTTGATTCAGTGTCTTCCAATTTGGTTGTTACCTGTCATTTATGTCTGTTTCAATGTCATCAGAATCAGAATGTCAACTACTATCTTCTGGTTCAAATTTGCCATCTCAAATCTGAGTTTTCCTAATTACCCTTTGACTCATGAGTTTTTAGTTTAATTAAAAATATACTTTTGAGTTCTCAACTTAGAATTAAATTGTGACTTTTTCACACTCAATATTTGTCAATATTTATAATTTTATTTCTAAAAATGTTCTTGTGAGCCTTGAAACAGAAAGTGCTGTTTGACTCTAGACAATTTGGAAAAGTAGAATTTTAGATATACAGTAGAGCGTCGTTTATCCAAAGCTCAGTTATCCGAAATGTCGGTTATCCGAAAGAATTCCAGTTGACAAATTTAAATTTTCGTCAGTGCTGTGGCGCTGTAATCTTTGGCTATGTCTTCGGCTACTGAAATATTTTACGGTTTTGATACTAAATTAACTTCTGAAGTATAATTTTTTTATTGTTTTTATATTTTTCAATATATTTATTTTGTTTGTACAAAATAAAAAAATAATTTTTAACGATACAATAGTCTTTGTTAGTCTTAACGTCGATGAAAATTCAACGTAAAGCGACACGCAATGGAGAAAATTTTCAACATGGGATAAATTAATATATTTTTTCATACATAATTGGTTATCCGAAAAATAAGTTATCCGAACAACCCCAGTCCCCAATTGATTCGGATAAATGACGCTCTACTGTATTCCTTAGCTATCACACATTACCATATTATACACTATACAGTGCAGTACTTTGTGTTTTCCATGTTTTTTAAGCTGAAGTTTTTTAACAACATTTTAATTTCCTGGAGTTTATTCAAAAAATTAGGGTTTGAAGAAATATAGTATGTTCATTAAGGTGACATGTCAAATACCTTATAATCATTTGAATAGTAAATTTATTATTTATTTAGCTTTTTGTAATTTAGTTTTTTATATAACAATTTTTCTTATTATAATATTTTTCAGTGAACCAAGCTGCATGTTTATTGTTAAAGAAAAATGAATGTGATGATCAAAAATCCAATGGTGTATTGTATCTTTGAAAATCAAGTCTGTTTCAAGATTGACTGCAACATTTCTCCTTGACTGCATATCTTATTTGAAAACTATACTTCATGAGTTTGATATCTTTTTGGTATTTATATATTGTTTTCATTTAAATTATTTATTTAAAATATTATATTTAATTGTATATATAAGATATATATTTTCTCTTCAGCTTTTTAGCAATAATGTACAATTTCTTGTAAGAATAAATTATTAGTAGTAGTTGTAGTAGTTGTAGTAGTAGTAGTAGTTCCAATGCTAGGTAGCATACCGGGCAGCAATTATCTTCCATCAATTTTGATCATGGGCGAGGACTTCCTCTTTCTCCGAAGTCATGTTGAGCATCTTCAAATCTTGAAGAAAAGTTCTATGCCAAGTATTTCTGGTGTATCCTTGTGGTCATTTGGCACCAGGAGAACCCATTTCATGGCTGTCTTAGGGATCCTATTGTTCTCCATATGAAAAATGCGGCTGGCCAGTCAGACTCTTCTAAGGGACGACAATGTTATTAAGTTTGCACTCCTACTACATCACACTTTGGAGAACCTCTTCATTGGTGATGTGATCTAAATATCAGATCTTTAGGATTTGTCGTAGGCATCTCTGTTGGACAACATCAAGCCTTCTATTGATGATTCCCAATGTCTTCCATGGCTCACTAGCATAAACAGCTATCAGAATCACGATGGAGGTGAACAGGCGGAATTTAATTCTCAATGAGATGGATGGTGAGGACCAGAGTTTGTTCATCCGCCAGAAGACTTGCCGCTTTTTCGATGCAGCGCTTCAAGTTATTTCCGTGTCACCATTTTGGGAAATAACTCTACCCAAGTAGGTAAATTTCTCCACCTCCTCCAATTGTGCTCTGACAATTACTCTCCATGTTTGGGCAGTGTTACATATATGCACAATTTCTGTGTTCATGGCCTTTATCCTGAGGCCAATGTTGTGTGCCTCCTGACCCAATGCAGCCATGGCATGCTGTAGCATTGTCTCGCTTTCCTCTAATAGAGCGATATTGTCAGCAAAAACCAAATCTCCAAGACAGTCCTGGTCAAACCAGTTGATGCCGTCCCCAACGCATGCACCAGACTCTTCTGCCCGCCTTATGACATAATAAAGGGTGATGAGGAAGAGGAAAGGGGACAGAACACAACCCTGCCTGACTAATGTAATTTCAAAGAAGTCTGTATGATTACCTTCAGTCTTGACACAACTTGAATGCAGGTAAAAGGCCTTGAAAATGGTGACAAAGTTTGTTAGTACACCATATAATCGCAGCATCTGCCAGAGGGACTTATGGTGAACACTGTCAAAAGCCTTCTTGAAATCAATGAAGTTGATGGGTGTCAATACACAATACATTGTTCAATTATATTTCAAAGGGAGAAGATCTGCTCGCTACATGATCTTCCACAGCAAAACCCAGCTTGGACCTCCCACAAGTGCTGATTGAGAGCAATCTGCGGGCGTCGAAGGAGGATCACACAACATGCCTTTCCAGGTACAGAAAGGAGGGTTATACCTCACCAGTTAGTACATTCAGAGATATTTCTTCTCTTAGCAATTCTGACTATACTCCCACATTGCCAGCACCTGTTAAACAATAATGTTGGCTTTTCCAACATTGGCTGCCCTCCATGCTTCAAAAAAATATATAATGAATAAATGAAAAAATATATATAATAGTTATTTAAAATCACTTTATAACAAAGATGAAATAGAAATACAGTTGACCCCTCCCCTATAACGCGGGTTCATATAATGCGGATTCGTATATCGTGGCGAAAAAATTGCAAAATTATAAAGAAAAAATTGTATTCGTATAATGACGCTAAAAGAACTCGTAAAATCCGGTAAAACGTCATCACCACCTTGTGTTGTGACAGGATTGGTCGAATCTGGACCAATAGTGGACAAGCAGCCGAACTACTTACACACTATGGAGAGTTTAGGTGGGAAAGTTGGGTTTACTATCATCTGTACAGTATATAAATTCACAAGAAATTATACATTTTTTGTGAAAAAACATTTCTTATTCAACGGCCATAAAAATTATTTCTATTTATGATGTCTCCAAAGTTCAACGAATTTTTCGCAGAAAAATAACTTATCAGAAAACGCGCTCGCTGTTTGGTGCGCTGCTCCGTGACAAAAACAAGCTTAAGCAATGGCGTCGTCGAACGGTGCACACTCAGTAAGTAATCCTACAATTGTTTGTTTATAGCATAGTTTATACGGATTATTCCAAAAAAATTATACGTTGATAATTTGACTAATTTGACTTAACATTTCCAAAATATTGAGTCAAATTGGAAATGTTGAGTCAAGTTAGTCTAGAATCAATTAATTTTGTGGAAGAAAACCTTTCAAACAGCCATAGTCTGTAAACTGCATATGTGCCGAGCTGTGATTGGCTCATGTATTTAAGGATTCCTACAACGCAAAATTCTTATAAAGTGGAACATATCTACCATGTTATAGGGGGGTTGACTGTAATATAAAATTAATAAGATCAACAAGTTTTTTAAAATAATTATAAAATATTGTTGTAATAAAATAAAATTTATAAAATATGAAATATAAAAGAATATATCTATAAGGTAGTTATAACTAAGCAAGAGGTAATTTTATTGGTTTAGTGTGGCAATTACAGATTCTGCATGTTGTAACTCTATAGGTTACAATGTAATACATGATAATTTTATACATGTCAAATTGCATATACAGAAATGTTCAAGTAATCAATAACTCAGACTAACAATTCTACTGTATGTGCTGTCCATCTTCCTGTTCTAAAGCAACAGTGCAATTAATGGCAGAATGTAACTGACTTGCATTTATTGTCTCACATGTTGCAAAATTCTGTCTTTTAAGAGAGCTAAGTGGAACATTGCTCTAATAAACAAGATTATTCAAATATCCTCAACCAAAAAACAATACAAGAATCAGGAGTGTGGTGTTGGAAATGGTTGGCTAATCATTCTCTCATTTGTGAAGTGCTGACATAATAACCTTTGCACATTGACACAAACAGTTTCATTGCTGAACTTCAGGAATGACAATTTCGCATGTCTCCAAACCTACATTCCTCAAAAGTGAAATCACAGCAACACAAAGGAATGCACCTAGCCACAAGCACATTACAGGACTGGTAGAGGTAACAGAAATATGCAAATGATTAAAAAAACAAAGATATGCAACAGACACCTGTTTTTTCATTAATGAATATGGCTCCCACAGGCAGCTATACAAGTTACTATACTGTAAGGCAGTGTTTTTCAACCTGTGGTTTGTGACCCCTCCCTAAGGGGTCGCAAAGCCTTACACTGGGGGTCATGGGTAAAAGAAAAAGACAAGTGTTTGTAGGTCCTTCACTACAATAAAAAAAACTACAATTTCAGTGAGAAGGCTGTGCCTGTTTATTTTACAGTAAAATTGATTTTTTGATCAATATTTAGGTCTCACAGAAAGAAAATTAAATATGTAGTTTTAAAATCACTGATATATTAAATAAAAGACAGTCTGCCCAAAAAGGGGCCACCATTTATTTTTTGTGTTCCAGACTTTGCATTCACGGCGACAGACCTTCCTTTATAGACTACATGCCGCCAGAATTTAAAAAACAGTCCTTTAAAAAACACAATTACATCCAAGTAAAAAATCTTTTTAAAAAGGAACTGGTGTTATACAGATGTCTTGCTTTCTATTCATCCTATGGGGTGTTTCTGCTTTTATCTACTGGAGCAAGCACTGGAAAATGCAGATTTCAGAAACTTCCCCCTGGTGATGATACATTCCAATTTTTTCTTTTGTAAATAGTTTTAATATGGCCCTGGGGGGGTCGCCAGAATTTTTTAACTTGTAAAGGGGTCACGTACTCAAGAAAGTTGAAAAACACTGCTGTAAGGCATACTATCAATGATGCGATTAATGGTTGCCTGAGGAATTTCCCTTGCCAAGCTGTGTCCACTGTAGTGCACACGTCATCTACAGTATATGGAGGTGGTCCCTAGTGCACCTCATGTCGACCAAGATCCTACATATGTTGGATAGGAGAGAGATCACCAATCCAGTGATGTTGACAAGCAGGAATGGATGTGAATTCCATTCAGTCTGATGAGGGCTTGTTGTGCAATGTGTGTCTTACTGGAACACCATGTTGGGTTCAGCCTGCACCAATGACTGAACCATGGGTTCCACAACTCATATGATGTACTGGTCCACTCTCAGAGTACTGGAAATTTGCATCAGGACTGTCCACTTTAGTTTTGGAAAGGGTTAGAAGGCATTACTCAGTGGTATTTCCTAAGGAGATGAAAAGAAGTGAGAAGGTCATAGACAGAAGGAAAGGCATTGATGGCAGGGGCCAAGGGGATGAAAATGTGAAAGAGAAGTTAGAAGAGGAAGGGGAGGTCATGAGCCTCATCAGATGCTTTTTTTTTTTAAACAGATACATAATACACATCATAAAAATACATAAAGTAAACAGATAAACATTACAATTGGATTATTTACAAGGATTACATATGATTGGGGCTGTACAGTTGGCATTCAGAGATAAGGAGGTACAGTACTAATGTTGATAATTACATAGAGCCGGATGTAAACAGACCTGCGTAATCGACAAAGCATAGCACAACGCTGGAGGTCTTTGCTTTGACAGCATGAGATAGTGATACATAGTGGTTATACAGTTTACCAGTTACATAAAATTAGATGAGCCTGAAAAATGGACAAAGAGAGCAGGGCTGTTACATTACAAGTTCACAGTAAGTTTTAGGCTAGAGTCATGTACAGCAAACATTCCAGACATTACACAAACTTGAAGGTGCGATTTACATTGAGAAAGTAAAACTGATGTGTAAGAAACTTGCGATAATATTACATAGCAAGGATTCAAACAGTGATACAATTTTCAAAAGCAGTCATATTACGGAGTATATATACAGAGCAGGTTACCAGTACTGAGCAGAGGCCACTTATCTGTAGGACAGTCTGTGACGAGAGTTCCTCAGTTGACTATTTACTGATGGAGGCAAGGAAGGTCAAGTGCTGCAGTCGTCTTCAAAAAGTATTTATGGCATGGAAGGTGTTGCGGATGTGAAGGAGTCTGTTGTGTGAGCATGGCCAGCTGTAGTTTGTCTTGAGTACTTGCCCCATTAGTCTAATCCTTTGTTGTTCATATAGTTTGCAGTCCCAAAATAGATGGTTGATATCCTGAACTGAAGAATCATCACATGGGTAGGTGTCGATGGATTTGATGTGGAACCTCTTCAGGTAGGTGTTGAAGTTGCCATGCTTGGTGATTAATTGGGTCAGACGAAAGTTAGGGATGAAAAATTTCCACTTTAGTCTATCACTAATGTTCGGGGTAAATTCGTATGTGATTCTCTTCATAGTACTGTTGTCCCACTCCTTCTGCCACAGATTCAAGGCCAGGTTGTAAGCCCAGAGTCTAATATTTGACCTGGGGATCCTGTTGTACGAGTGGTTAAGGTTAGAGCTGGTGGCTTGATTTGCCAGCTAGTCTGTGGCCTCATTGCTGGAAATTCCAGAGTGTCCCTGGATCCACTTGAAATAAAATGTGTGGTGATTGGTGTTAGCAGAGAGGAGACTGTGGATTTTCATGATGTTCCCGCCTTTGTCGAATGGGCTGTAAATTGAGTGAAGGGCAGTCAGACTGTCCATGTAGATGGCAGAAATCCAACTGCTGAGAGAACCACTCCTCGTATACATGCTCCATGGCCTTGGTGCCTTGGTGATTTCATCCTGTAAAACTGAGTAGCGGGGCCCCAGCTTGAAAGCAGACTTATCGATAGTTTTATTCTTGTGATTTAAAAAGTATGAAAGCTGCACCCAGAACTGTCCACTAATTGAACATGATGCCTCCAAAACCATGATGCCTCCAAAACCATGATGCCCAGTGTGGCTGGTGTGATGCTTGGTGAAAAGGACTTGCATGGACAGGTATCGCTGGGATACTGCCATACCTGTCCATGAAATGTTATTCTTCCACAGACAGAATTGTGATTCATCCATAAACAATATCTGATATCATTCAGTGGTCCATTTGCAATGATGAGGATACCATGCAAGCGTGCAGCACTGTGCCAAGCAGTTAGTGGCACTCTCATGGCACCCAACTTCATTCAAACTGTTATGAATGGTTTGGGTGGACATAGATGCACTCATTGATGACAACAAGCAGCTTCAGATGTCACTTGCCATGGTCAATGGATACCAATGGGCCATTCAGCAAATCTGCCAGTCTGTGTGCTCTGTTGTGGGCCAGTGTAATCCACACCCTCTTTGGTGTGTTCATAGATGTTTATGCATCTATTGTGTCACATGTTGCTAGATAATACTGACATTGTAACCAACACACACGGCAACTGCGTGCATTAACAAACTGGGGCTGTGCAGCTCTAGGATACAATCTCTTTCTCCAGATGTTAACTGGTGGCGTTCAGCTCACTGTTGTCTTCAAGACATTTTCTACACTTCAAAAGTTTGGTTACTGTGAACTGTTACTGATAGCAATTACAGCCCAAGCCAGATGCTGGTCTTTAGAGTTTGAAATTGGGTATCACATGACCCAATGCATACAGAAACTTAATAATTTGCATATCTGTCACCTCTACTAGTGTTGCAATTTTCCTTTTGAGGAGTTTAGAACTTGTTATTGGCCCAGATACAGTGTTTTCTTTGAAGAAACATGGTCTGATGACAAAGGATAAACCAAACTGTAACTTTTGGTTGATGCAAAGGAATTTGTTAACTGTTTTCTCCAGACCAAATACAGCATTTCTAAGTGTTTACCATACCATTCAAGTAAAGATGAGCTTCATTGATTCATAGAATTTTCCAGCATTATGAATAACTCATTGATCATCATCATGCTATGAATGACATGGCAAATGATTCTATTTCCTTGAAAGGCAAAATCATTGTTTTGAGATTAATAATGGTCAGAGGACTATTTTGCAAAGACTTTAAATGTTAGAATTCTTTAAGTGCAACATTAGCTTTGCTGATACTTTGATAGGAGATCAGGTAACATAAGCACCATGATAATCCGTATTGAACATGCTTTGCAACTCTTCATAAACCATAAAGTTTTTTCACAACTTATATGCAAATTGTAGTGGCATCAGTGCCAAATTTCTTTCTATATGGAAATTTTGAAACTAAAATTTTTATTTACAAAATTGAAATTTCATGGTCAGGAAAGTATGTACACTAAATTTAGTTGTATTTAGTTCAGTAATTCTTTCTATACAGAGTATTAAACATCTCCATTAAAATATATTACCATCCTGTATATAATATATAGAAAAACAAAACATTCTTTTATATTATTATTTAATGTTTTTATTCGGAAGATGACTTCAGTTATTACATAACAAAATCATTCAAATGTCTAATGAAAGATATTTTAATTATTTTCTTATGTAATAACTGAATTGAAAAGTATATAAGTAAGCAGTTGTTTAATTTTCTTATCTTTTTGTATTTATCAGTTCTTATTTTAGTTTGAAGTTCCTTTCAAATAAAGACATTTTGCAATATTAGTTCAAATAAAATTTTAAATATTTTTCATTACTATTATTATTACTATTAAAATAAGTTTTTGTTAATGTTAGAAATGATTAAATCATTTTAATTTCTTATCTTTTTAATAATAAAATTTTAACATTGTTTTAATTTAAGAATTTTATTATATTTTACATTAGTATTTAATAAGATTAAAATTTTTAAGCTATAACTTTTTTACACACAGTATTTTGTCATAATGAAGTGCTTAAGAAGTCATTATGCATGATTTATTTGCTCAAGTACTCAACAACCGAGATCTTTCTCGGGCAGGAGACTTGTTTTCTATTGATGATAAAAGTGTTGTTAATGATCTGTCTGAAGTTCTTTCTAAAATACAAGATATTGCCAGTGCCTCAGATTTCATCCATAATGATAATAATCAAAGTGTAGTAGAAATATGCATTACCAGGGCAACATCAGCCATTAGGTAAGGATTATTTAAACATTAAATTTAAAATCAATGTAGTTTTAAAATCAAAATATTTAAATTTATTTTAATTTAAACTTATTTTCTTTGATAAATTCTTTGATAAATATCAATTGTTATTAATTAATTTAAATAATTTTAAACAAAATGAACATAAACAAATTTGAACAGAATTTTTTTGCGAAAATGGCATATTAATAGCATTGTGTATTCAATCATAATATAATTTATAATAAAACTGAAACTTCATTATTAAATGATTCATGCTCATTATTTTTGTATTAAACTTTGAAGAAAATTGCCTGTTTTTTTATTCATAAAATTCATATGCAAATTATAAACAGAAATTATTCTTTCAGCAGAAAGAAGTCCAAGAATAAATTTTTTTTAATAAGTACAGTATCATATAAATGATACATAGAATTATGATATTTTTCTCTCTTACTCCAAATGATTGGTTCTTATTTTTCAATTAACAAAAAAGTGTCAAACTTGATGAAAATAATAGTAAACTTTCATTATTGCATTATTTTTTTTACAGAATACAAATAACAAAATTTAAACAATTTAAAAATTTTAGATTTTAATCATATGAAAATAATTTTTTTTCTTTTATATTAATTAATCTTTTAATTCAAGTTTCATAATCCAATTTTCAATAAATAGATTATAATTCTGTTCTGTTTATTGAAAATGAATTATAGAGACAGTTAGTGACTTATAAAAAAAGTAGTTGTAATCTTTGGCATCAATTTCAAAAAAATGAAAGTAATGATATTTAATAATAAATGTGATTTAAAGAAAAATTGGTGCCTAGGATGACAAATACTTTTGGAGGATGAAAGATTGGATGAAAAGCGAATTTTATCTAGTAATTTAATTTTTGGAGTAATTATTTTTTCAATGTACTTATGGTGCCCAAACTGATCTATCATTGTAAAACAAATATGAAAAATTGTGCCAAAAGATAATACAGAGAAGTATGTTTGAATTCACAGGAAAGGACAAAGTTAGAAATGAAAGATCTTAGATGGGTTTATAGATTTATCTAGAAGACTAAAATCATTAAATGATAATGATCTGGTCATTTAAATAAATAATTAGATAATAGATGATCAAGAATGGTTGGTTAGTAAGAGAATGGCTCCGAAATACAGAACAGTTGGTTAGTAAGAGAAGAAAAAGGTCAAGAGACAAGTAAACTATAAAAATTAGAAATGAAATAAATTGAGAATATCTTTGCTCAGAATTAGAATATTAAAGGCCAGCAACAATGTCATATACTAATGAGAAATATCAAATTTCTCAAAATCAGAATATTTTAATCTCCTAATCAGATTATTTATTTTTATCTCCCAAAATTGTTTTCAAAACAAAAAATAACTTTTTTTGTACAAGTATGTTTATTTGATTTATTTTTAACATTGTTGAAAAATAAGTTAGCTATTTGATTTGCATACTCTATATTAATACAGTAGAGCGTCGTTTATCTGAATCAATTGGGGACTGGGGTTGTTCGGATAACTTATTTTTCAGATAACCAATTATGTATGAAAAAATATATTAATTTATCCCGTGTTGAAATTTTTCTCTGTTGCGTGTCGCTTTGCGTTGAATTTTCGTCGATGTTAAGCCTAACGAAGACTATTGTATCGTTAAAAATTATTTTTTTATTTTGTACAAACAAAATAAATATATTGAAAAATATAAAAACAATAAAAAATTATACTTCAGAAGTTAATTTAGTATCAAAAACGTAAAATATTTGAGTAGCCGAAGACATAGCCAAAGATTACAGTGCCACAGCACTGGCAAAAATTTAAATTTGTCGACTGGAATTCCTTCGGATAACTGACCTTCGGATAAACGACACCCTACTGTATGTTTTAATAAAAGTTGTAATAATAATAATAATGATGATGATTTACACACAATTTTGAATTTTTCTCATAATTATGCAGTGATTTAGAGCTTTAGTTTCTGCTGAAGAGCACCTTGTTTACAGAATAGTTTAAAAAAGCTGATAGTATGTATTCATGTATTAAAAATAAATATCACCTACTAAGATAGATATAAATTTGAACAGTTAGTTTTTAATAGTTAATGTTTTTGGTTTTAAAGAATTTAATATTTATAAGGAGTTAAATATCACTTATCTTTAATATCTTGTGCCAGATTGGTTGTATTATAAAATTATTGATGAATTAAAAGGAAAAGACATGATCTGTCTGTTCTATTTCATTGATTCATAGAAGAGGTTTTTTATATTTTGAAAAATTTTAGTTATAATTTTTTTAAATGTTTTATCTAAAACTAAACATCTGATAAATATAATTAAATATATAGTAAAATGAATAGAAATCAAATTTTAAATAGTTTTATATTTAAAAATGTTTGTGTCATGAATAAAAGTACTAAAGTTTAGAATTGTGTAGATAAAAATTATTTTCTAAGAATTGACACACTTTATAAAATGGGCAGTTAAGGATTATTATAGTGTACAGTGTTGATATTTACAGATGAAATGTAGGTATATACATATTAATTAATAGTAACAAAATGCAAAGTAGAATGAAAATTAATAAAATGAAAGACAATTCATACATTCTCCTATGTAAGTATTCCTGGAAATAAACAAGATATTCAATTTTAAAAAAATATATTAAAATTGTGATATATATATAACTTTTGAAACTTTTTAATATTTATTCATATATCAATAAATTTTCTAAAGTTGTTAAAGAAATAAAGTTTATTCACTTTTTAATGAGTTTTAAGAGAAATTTTTCTTTGGAAATATTTGTAAAAAGAAATAATGTAATAATAATATAAACAGAGAAAAACTTGGTTAATTAAAAAATTATAGAATTTGACATTTTTTAAAATTATCAGTATCAGTGTGAAGAATTCAGATATTGCAGCTTTTCTAGTTAGAATAAATTAATGAATAATTCATTATATATGAATTGTAACCCATCTTGTTTGAGATATCTTGAATTTTATTAAAATCTTATTTAACTATTTTTATTTACTGGGATACTAATACTATGTGTTTATTAATAACTAGCATTACATGTGACTATCTTTAATCAAAATTATCCATTTAATTAAAAGCCAAATTCATATTTCTTCTCAATTTTAGAAGAATGAATTTGAAAATAAGTGACAATTTCACTAAGATACTGTTAAATCAAAGTAAAACATATACATTTTGATTTTAAGCTATAACATATAAGATTCTCTTGGTTACAGCTAAAATATTGAACAGATGTGTTATAGATCATTAGGCCACATTTTCTATTTACATAGTTATTTTTATTATTGCAGTGTATTATATATATTTTTATTGCAGATAATGTACTGAAAATTTTTTNCATAAACAAATTTGAACAGAATTTTTTTGCGAAAATGGCATATTAATAGCATTGTGTATTCAGTCATAATATAATTTATAATAAAACTGAAACTTCATTATTAAATGATTCATGCTCATTATTTTTGTATTAAACTTTGAAGAAAATTGCCTGTTTTTTTATTCATAAAATTCATATGCAAATTATAAACAGAAATTATTCTTTCAGCAGAAAGAAGTCCAAGAATAAATTTTTTTTAATAAGTACAGTATCATATAAATGATACATAGAATTATGATATTTTTCTCTCTTACTCCAAATGATTGGTTCTTATTTTTCAATTAACAAAAAAGTGTCAAACTTGATGAAAATAATAGTAAACTTTCATTATTGCATTATTTTTTTTACAGAATACAAATAACAAAATTTAAACAATTTAAAAATTTTAGATTTTAATCATATGAAAATAATTTTTTTTCTTTTATATTAATTAATCTTTTAATTCAAGTTTCATAATCCAATTTTCAATAAATAGATTATAATTCTGTTCTGTTTATTGAAAATGAATTATAGAGACAGTTAGTGACTTATAAAAAAAGTAGTTGTAATCTTTGGCATCAATTTCAAAAAAATGAAAGTAATGATATTTAATAATAAATGTGATTTAAAGAAAAATTGGTGCCTAGGATGACAAATACTTTTGGAGGATGAAAGATTGGATGAAAAGCGAATTTTATCTAGTAATTTAATTTTTGGAGTAATTATTTTTTCAATGTACTTATGGTGCCCAAACTGATCTATCATTGTAAAACAAATATGAAAAATTGTGCCAAAAGATAATACAGAGAAGTATGTTTGAATTCACAGGAAAGGACAAAGTTAGAAATGAAAGATCTTAGATGGGTTTATAGATTTATCTAGAAGACTAAAATCATTAAATGATAATGATCTGGTCATTTAAATAAATAATTAGATAATAGATGATCAAGAATGGTTGGTTAGTAAGAGAATGGCTCCGAAATACAGAACAGTTGGTTAGTAAGAGAAGAAAAAGGTCAAGAGACAAGTAAACTATAAAAATTAGAAATGAAATAAATTGAGAATATCTTTGCTCAGAATTAGAATATTAAAGGCCAGCAACAATGTCATATACTAATGAGAAATATCAAATTTCTCAAAATCAGAATATTTTAATCTCCTAATCAGATTATTTATTTTTATCTCCCAAAATTGTTTTCAAAACAAAAAATAACTTTTTTTGTACAAGTATGTTTATTTGATTTATTTTTAACATTGTTGAAAAATAAGTTAGCTATTTGATTTGCATACTCTATATTAATACAGTAGAGCGTCGTTTATCTGAATCAATTGGGGACTGGGGTTGTTCGGATAACTTATTTTTCAGATAACCAATTATGTATGAAAAAATATATTAATTTATCCCGTGTTGAAATTTTTCTCTGTTGCGTGTCGCTTTGCGTTGAATTTTCGTCGATGTTAAGCCTAACGAAGACTATTGTATCGTTAAAAATTATTTTTTTATTTTGTAGAAACAAAATAAATATATTGAAAAATATAAAAACAATAAAAAATTATACTTCAGAAGTTAATTTAGTATCAAAAACGTAAAATATTTGAGTAGCCGAAGACATAGCCAAAGATTACAGCGCCACAGCACTGGCAAAAATTTAAATTTGTCAACTGGAATTCCTTCGGATAACTGACCTTCGGATAAACGACACCCTACTGTATGTTTTAATAAAAGTTGTAATAATAATAATAATGATGATGATTTACACACAATTTTGAATTTTTCTCATAATTATGCAGTGATTTAGAGCTTTAGTTTCTGCTGAAGAGCACCTTGTTTACAGAATAGTTTAAAAAAGCTGATAGTATGTATTCATGTATTAAAAATAAATATCACCTACTAAGATAGATATAAATTTGAACAGTTAGTTTTTAATAGTTAATGTTTTTGGTTTTAAAGAATTTAATATTTATAAGGAGTTAAATATCACTTATCTTTAATATCTTGTGCCAGATTGGTTGTATTATAAAATTATTGATGAATTAAAAGGAAAAGACATGATCTGTCTGTTCTATTTCATTGATTCATAGAAGAGGTTTTTTATATTTTGAAAAATTTTAGTTATAATTTTTTTAAATGTTTTATCTAAAACTAAACATCTGATAAATATAATTAAATATATAGTAAAATGAATAGAAATCAAATTTTAAATAGTTTTATATTTAAAAATGTTTGTGTCATGAATAAAAGTACTAAAGTTTAGAATTGTGTAGATAAAAATTATTTTCTAAGAATTGACACACTTTATAAAATGGGCAGTTAAGGATTATTATAGTGTACAGTGTTGATATTTACAGATGAAATGTAGGTATATACATATTAATTAATAGTAACAAAATGCAAAGTAGAATGAAAATTAATAAAATGAAAGACAATTCATACATTCTCCTATGTAAGTATTCCTGGAAATAAACAAGATATTCAATTTTAAAAAAATATATTAAAATTGTGATATATATATAACTTTTGAAACTTTTTAATATTTATTCATATATCAATAAATTTTCTAAAGTTGTTAAAGAAATAAAGTTTATTCACTTTTTAATGAGTTTTAAGAGAAATTTTTCTTTGGAAATATTTGTAAAAAGAAATAATGTAATAATAATATAAACAGAGAAAAACTTGGTTAATTAAAAAATTATAGAATTTGACATTTTTTAAAATTATCAGTATCAGTGTGAAGAATTCAGATATTGCAGCTTTTCTAGTTAGAATAAATTAATGAATAATTCATTATATATGAATTGTAACCCATCTTGTTTGAGATATCTTGAATTTTATTAAAATCTTATTTAACTATTTTTATTTACTGGGATACTAATACTATGTGTTTATTAATAACTAGCATTACATGTGACTATCTTTAATCAAAATTATCCATTTAATTAAAAGCCAAATTCATATTTCTTCTCAATTTTAGAAGAATGAATTTGAAAATAAGTGACAATTTCACTAAGATACTGTTAAATCAAAGTAAAACATATACATTTTGATTTTAAGCTATAACATATAAGATTCTCTTGGTTACAGCTAAAATATTGAACAGATGTGTTATAGATCATTAGGCCACATTTTCTATTTACATAGTTATTTTTATTATTGCAGTGTATTATATATATTTTTATTGCAGATAATGTACTGAAAATTTTTTGAATGCTTTATTATAAAATTACATAGTTGGATTATTAGCAGTTTTCAAATTTGTCTTTGTAAAAATTGAAGATCTTATGTAAAATATTACAAAATATAGTTTTTAAATATTTATTTTATTTGTAAATGATTTGTATTTATTGATTGGTGTATTAGATATTAAACATGTAGATCTATTCTGTATGAAATGCAATTATGCCAAATAAATAAATAATATTTATAAAATAATTTTTTAGGGAAACTGGTACTATAGAATATCATGCAAAAGCTATGGTTACACTTCTTGAATCTTGTTTGAATCATGATCTTAGACCTTCTGCAAAAGATGAGGATCCACCTCATGCCAAAATTGCTTCAGATATAGTTAGTTGCATCTTTCTTGTAAGTTTTCATATTCATTTTAATTTTGAATTTTTTTTTAATTAATTTTTAATGTAATTGATATTTTAGCCTTAATATTTATACTACAATGAAATGTTGGTATAATGAATGCCAGTTTAATGAAATTTTCATGTAATGAATTTATCTTGAATCCCTGCCAATTTCCTATTCAGATCAATGCACAAATTTTTTAGTTTAACAAATACCATTATAATAAAAATTTCAGTTTAATATAATAAAAAATTTTATTAGTTACAAAACAAAAGTTTCATTATACTGAAATCTATAAATCATAATTATTCATTTTTTGTAAATGATGAATATCATGTTAATCTGGAAACACTAATTTTAATGTTTAGTTAATTGTCAACAATAATTTTAATCCTAATTATGGTTTAATTTTGATGCTATTACTCTATAGTTATTTCTTTTAAGTTTACAGAGAAAAATGGAGAAAACAAAAAGAAAAAAAAAGCAGTTTTCTTTGGAAGAGAAGAAATTGATTTGCATAAAGGAATTTTTAAAAAAAGTGTGTGTTATGACATGCTGGAATGCTGTACCACAGTGTAGTATTTCATTGAAAAAACTTTGAGAAACAAACAATACAAACAAAAATTAGACTTTTTAGCAGAAAATAATAGATTTAAGTAGCAGTAATAACACTTTTTGATCAGTTGGAATCCTGACACTCTACTACTGTATTGCTATTTTAGATGTTTATTCATGATATTTTTAATAACTTAATTTTTTTATTACAGTATAAATTTTTATTTTGTGTTTAATATAACTTACATTCTGAAAATGTGAAATTTGGTTGCATATAAATAGTAAGATAAATTGCATTTTAAAAAACTTTTTTACTTCAAAATGTAAGTTTTTTTTAATTGTGAAAAAAAGTTTTTTTTTTATCCTTGCATTTTTGACTGTGTCAATATAATGAAATTTTACTGTAACAGAAATATTTCAACAGATCCCTTATTTTCATTTTATTGGCATTTCAATTTATTAGGAAAATTTATGAATTTAATTTTATTTTTATTTTTTAATAATCATTTATTTTTGGCACAGTTGTTCTTTTCAACTTAGTTATTTCATAAAAAGTAGATTGAAATCATTTGTGAATAATATGAACTTGATAGCTAACATATTAATGATGATTTGAAAAAAAAAAGACTAGTTTGATGATGGCTAGTTCTATTGTAAAGTTTTTCCAATGGAAGCAATTTTGTTTCTTATTAAGCTAATTTTTATTACTGAAAATAAAATTTTATAACTTTGATCTTACTGTAATATTATGTAGGTGTATATAGCTGAAAATGTATTTAATAATTTATAAAAATTTTCATATGTTTGTATTATTATATAGTAAATGTTAAAGTATAAATATCTTTGTAGTTATTTGTGTTTGAGTGAAATATTATTACAAGTGTAACTTCCAAATTATATTTTGTCTAATTGGGTTTGCCAGTATTGTTAAAATTTTAAAAGGAGTATGCAGTTTGGGAAATATTGCTCTATTATATTATTACTAAGTTTATTTGCAAAGAAAAGATAATCAGAGACTTGGATCTTAACTGCTTTATATATATGTGAGTTTAATCTGTAAAATTTGTGATTATATAGAATCATATTTGATTTTAAAATATAATATGCTTAGATAAAAATATCAATATAAAAATAATACATTATATTAACAATGTATATGTTTAAAAGTTACTGAAAATATAATGTTGGCTTTTTTTACTTTAAAATGATAATTTAATATATATTTTAATTTTAAGTATGGTCATTTTCAATATATAAAATTTAATTTTATATAGAACCATAGCAAGAAAAATGTAATGAGGTTAGCACTTCCTGTAGCTGTGAAATTTCTGCATCGAGGAAATAAGGAATTGAGCCGAAACTTATCCAGTTATCTATCTTTGGCAGCAATTAATAATGCTGAACTACTTGCACCTCATATTCAGCCAATTATTGACAGCATTATTAGTGGTAAATTTTTCAGAAAAATATTTTTAGTTGGACAATTTTTTTTTGTTTTATATATTAATTTTTTTTAATCAAAATTATTTTAAAATATACTATATAGAAAAGTTATCAGAATGTTATAAATTAAAATTTAAAATTTTGTTTTTTACTTGTTAGCCTTTCATACAATTTGGTTTGAGACTGTGACTAGCCACAGTTCTGTATCTAAACATGGTAGCCAGCCTTGTCTACTCATGGCAACTTGCATATGATATTTTCCGTATTTTCAATTAGTTTTTTTACAGTTGGTTGAAGCAATGGTTTATGATGCACCAGAGAAATTGTGCCATTTGTCTATACTTATTACATAAGTGAAAAATAATCAAATAGTTTATTATGCTCATCTGGTAAATATGGAAAGAAGTTTGGTGGGAGCATTTTCTACCTTATTTAACAAGATATGGCAAGACAGCTCTAAATTTTTTACTTTCATACATCTGTGTTAACAAGTGATGAGTTATTGAGTTGTTTGTATAATATGTTACTTCATCATGAGAAATCTATGGTTCCATGAGTTCCTAATAGGCAGCCTTGGAACTTTGCCAACATAATTTTTTTTCCGTCAGGGTTGCCTCATTGTGCAACCCTGATTAAGCTGATATTTGTGATAAATATTTAAACTAAACTAAACCAGTGAAAAGATGAGAATGTATTGTTATGTTACTAGTTTTAATATTATTAACACACATAATTTTAGTAACTGTAACTGCTTTACTTCGTCAAAATTCTAAAATGAAAAATGTAATTCCACTGATTTATTGTTAAATATTGAGATTTATATTCTAAACTTTTATCCCACAAAACATATCTTTCTTGAACTAGTAATTTATTAGTAATTAAACATCCACTTTGTAACCCTACATTTTCAGGAATGGAAATTTAAGTTTAAGTTTAATGCATTTTGCCATATATCTAGCAAAATGCATTAAACTTGGCAAAAAATTGTGATGTATGAAAGAGAGTATAGAAGTATACAGTATTCTGAATTATTATATATGGCAAAAAAACTGTTTATGGCTCTGACAAGTTTCTCCATGTACAGCATTTTACCATGACCGTATTGTATGAAAGGCCTTCATATATCAGAAAAATACTTGAAGCTGTTTTAATTTTTGCATGTGATATGAAAAATTGTTGTTAAACTTTCAGGTAATTATTCGCTGGCTCGAGTTTTACCACAGATTTATGCAGTTAATAAAGAACCTATTCATGATCATGTTATGGCTTTAGTGTCATTATTACCACAGTGTGAAAATTCTGAAAAACTTAGCCTTTTGAACCTGTTTGGCTTGATTGCTAAACATAAACCTTCAGTAAGTAATTTTTGTTTAAATTTAATCTAAATTTATAAATCTGAATTCTTAACTTATGAGTTATAATTAATATCTATTTTACAATGTCATCTGTTTGTTATTTACTTTATTTCATTGTATTAAATTTCATTTAACTGCCGTTTCCATTTTGAAATCAAATCAGAATTAAAAACCACAAATAAATCTGTATATAAAATTTATTTATAAAATAATTTGCAGTTTTATAAATCTTTATATTTTTAAGTTATTTATTAAATATGTATACAGTTATTTTTTACTTAATAGCCATCTATAATTGATTCTTCCAATCCTGTAAAGTACATATGATACTTCCATCCTGTACAATCCATGATAATGAAGTGAAATATGGTGGTTAAATGAATAAGCAAAATTTTTTTCATTTATAGCACTTAATATTATATTTAAACAAAACTTCATCTATCCTGAGTTTCAGATATTATTTTTCTTAAGTGGTATTAGTTCTATATATTAGAAAAATTAAAACACAAGCTGAAATTTTTCAAAATCATGTCACCAAAGATAGTGTAATAGTATGGATTATATAATTTAACATTTTATTAATCTAGTCATTTCTATTCCTATATTAAATATTATTATTTATAAATATATTTTGATTTGAAATTATTTTCGGTTAATCTTGCTTATATTTTATCTTCAGTTTATAGTTTATCTTCGATTAGGTCTTGCTTATATTTTGTTAAAATAAACAGATCCAGATATAACTTTTATTATTATTAAAAACAAAATTATTTGATTACTACATTTTAAATAAGTTATAATTGGTATTTTTATTGATTATGAAGTCATAATTAAAAAATTTTTTTTTTAAAGCTTTTGGAGAGCAATCTTCCTCAGCTGAGTGAATGTCTTACAATTTCCAGCACAGCAACTTCTGTTTTACAAATATTTTTAGATATGGCAGCTGTAAGGCCACAATCTTTTACTGAACACATTCAAAAAATAAAGATGGCTGCCGAACAACAACCAGGAACAATTACGTTGGTAGCCAGAATGTTAGGAATAATTGGAAAATTAAATAAAGTAAGTTAGTTAATAAATGTATTTACTTTATTATACATATGAATACACTCCTATGCATTTGTTTTATGTAAGTTATGTTATTTCAGTTTTGAGATTTTTTTTGAGACAATGCAACACATGGACAATTTGTCAGGGAAATATCTCCTGGGAGGTCTTTTTATGGGAAAATTTGCCCCTATTTAGGTGTTACTGATGTGAAGAAAACCTGGAAAACTCCATGTGGCTAGCCTGTTGGTGAAGTGCAAACCCAGCACCAACTACCAGTGTTTAGTGGTTTTATCCATTCCGCCACTGGTGGGCATGTAATTTTGGTAACTTAAGATTTAAATGACAGTTTGGAGATACAAATGATGATGATATGTTTAAATTATTCTTTGTATTCTAATGCTTAATTATATAAATCTATTCATTTGAAAAGTTTGTATCAGAAACTATTTTGAAGTAATTATTTACTTAAAATACAACACCAAAACAATCAAAAAAGATTACTAGAAATCAAACATTTTCAGTTTATTTATTGGCTATTGTTAGGATACACTCAAATTTGAAAACAGAAACATTCCAAAGTAATATTCAAAATACAAGATTGAATCTTGTAGAATATTTGAAATACAAGATTGAATCTTGTATTTCAAATATTTCTTTTGTACTAAAAATCTTTGATTTCTAGTAATCTGTTGATAGTTTGGTGCTGTATTTAAGTTTAATTGCATTATGTGATTGTTTAAACATAATTATTTACTATTATATTTCTTTGATTCTAAAATTCCATCAATTATAAGATGTACTATGTTTTTGAAATTGAATTTTAAGATATTTTCTATAGGAAGTAAAATTTTAAATAAAAAAATCAATCTTATTAAATTTTGTTGAGCAATAGTTAGAAAAACAATACAAATATCATGAAATAGATAATATTTGGCACCCTATTTTTGCTTTTACAACATGATGCAACATTAAAAGAAAAGTTAATGTCAATATGAAGATACTTTAAGTATTAAAAAGTTTCGAGTTAAGAGATTTTTTTTATGCCATCTTACAACGGGAACATTTTGTTGTCAAAAGCCACTTTTGCAAGTTCAATGTGTTTTGAGTAAATATTTTTGATGCTCTGATATATGGGTTCTAAACAGTTGATATATACAGTAGAACCTCGATTATCCGGATTTCTATTATTTGGATTTTCGATTATCCAGATTGTTCAAAATAAACAAAAATTTTATGAATTTGCTGATTTGCACTTGGTGAATTATGACACTGCTTATGTACGTGATGGAATGCATAACTTTTTTTGTTTCAACAACGTCTCACCCAGCACAGTGGTCGTAAACTCTTAAATATATTTTACGTAGTAATAAAAATATAACTTGACATACGTATTTATAAATAATTTATATTCAAATTACATCATTTCTATGACCAAGGGCGGCGTAAGGCATGGACGACGTGGGCCACCGCCTATGCCTCGCGGTCCGAAGGGCCTCGCGCCTCGAAGGTTTATGCATTACTTAAAAGCCGCGAACGCGACGAAAAAATTTTACTCGTCATAAAACGATAAATAGTTTGTCAAATTTTTATTCATAAAAATGCAGTTTCAACTGCTTTTTATTTTATAAAATCCACCTTCTTGTGCCACCAGAGGGCCTTTTTAAACAATAGATAGTCTGTTAGTGCTGGTCAGTAGTAGTCCAAATTCAATAAAAAAGTTTGTTTCTTGAAAATTTGATCACGATTTAAATACAGTATTTACTTTTAATATTACCGATATGTCATTGAAAAGAAAACGTGTTGTATTATTATTAAAAGACAAATTAAAGTATTTGTTTCGATTATCCGAATTTTTCCTTATCCAGATTACCTTCATCCCCAATTAGTCCGGATAATTGAGGTTCTACTGTATATATCAACTGTCTAGAATTTGCAAATACAAAAACACCAAAGAAACCAGTGGAAAAACAATGTTTTTCATTGGTGTTATTCATTGGCAAATACATCAGTTGTGGTAAATGTCTATAAATTGCTCTGATATATAGAAGGTTGTATTAATAAACTGAGACAGAGGGATAGTGTTAGTAAGAAATTTTATTTTCAAAAAATTTTGATAATTTTCTTATGAATTCCTCTCTGAGTAAAAGAAATGGTAAATGGAAAAGTATTTGTATTTAAAGGATGACATTACAATTTTATAGTCTGATCATTGGCCTTGGATACTTGNTGTACAAGTAAATACTGTACAAGTACAGTACAGTATTTTCTGAGGAAATACTCGTACTTATTTTTTTTAACCCCATTCCCGATAACTCGGCATTTTCACAAACTCGGCCACCCTTCGGTCCACATTAGGTCGAGTTTTCGAGGTTCTACTGTATTATGATCTATAATCAAAGGAGGGCTGTACAAATTTTGAGTGAGGAGAGTCACGGGTAAGTTCTTATTGTGGGTAGTTTGGATGTCAGCATTTAACCAAGTGAATAGACAGGTTAACAAATAACTAATAAACATTTAATGAAATAAAATAAAGAAATACATAAAAAAATACATAAAAAACAATCTATTGTTAAATCGATGCCTAACTACAGAGAGAGAGAGAGAGAGAGTTTACAATAATCTATACAATAATACCTCTGTCTAGACTAGTATATTTAGTCTGGTCGATGTATAGTGCTTCTTTTCTGATATCGAGATGGCTGAAGAATGGGAGACGGATATGGAGAGCTGGAGCAGGACTATGCTCTTCCTATGGCTTCCGCACTTCTATCTGACAGTCCTTGTTACTTTCGGATGCTGCCCTGAGAATCCAATTTCTCTGCCTTTTATTCTAAATTTCTCTCCAATTAGATTTGGGTATTTGTAATATCTGACAGGATATATTTCTGACGCAAATGGACAAATGTTTGTTGGAGAAGTGTGATAACATCTCTCCCAAAGAAAGTTTTATTTCTCTTTTCCACGAAAAATGATAAAATGTGTCATTTTTGACATTAAAATGTTACTTTAAATTGTTGATGAATTTAATAAATTTTTAAGTGATTGTATAAAATTACTCTCTACTCCTGAATTCTCACATTAGCATAACTTTCCAACAACTTTTATATTTGATGTATTTGAAAATTTTTTCAACAATTTTGACATTAAATTCTTTAATTATATTTAATGTATACAGTAGAATCTACTTATTTTAATTGCAGATGACATTAAATGGCTGATGATGATATTAGAGTTAGCATGTCCCAAAGCTTAAAAAGTTAAAATGCACTTATAGAACTTTGCTTATTGTAATCAAAGTTTTGATTGTTTTCATTATTCTCAGGTAAACAGACATTTTGAGATTGTCTTTTCATACTCCCAGCCTTTATTTGTGACTGACAACAATAACTGATAATGATTACATATTATCAGATTTAATTATTTTTTTAAATGTTAAACATTGTTTTAATCAGAGAGATGTCCAACCTAGATTAGACATCTCTCTGATTAAAACATTACCTCATATTTTATGTTGATTTTTATTTGTTCTAGAAAGTATACCAAATCAGCATTTTTCAAATTATTTTGAGAGGTATAAACATTGAATACTAAAACTAGTGGAAATAATCAAATGTACTAAACTGGTGTATGATGCTCATTATGGTTCTGCTATTTGTATTCTATAAGTTTCTTTCATCTGAAAATGGTTACTTTATTCAAATATCAACTAAATTAAATAAATTTTTAAAAGAAAACAAACAAAATTGTAAAGTAAACATTTCATATTAAGAATTAGTGTTACAAATTTTTAACTAACTTTTGAACAACTGTCTAAAAATATTTATTCTCAATCATTTCATTAAATGTTTGTTCAATATATACAAAATATAATATTTCATTAAAATATTAAGATGTTTAAATATTTATTGTATTATTGGAAGTATATTTTATTTACATTGAAAAACATCAGAAAATTTTGACCTGACGATCAATTAAGTTAAAACAAAAGTCTATTAGCTCATATTTTTATAATTTTGATAAAATTCTGAAGATAAATGATGTAATAGATCCTGTTGCTGAATTTTCATTATATAGTCTAAAAATTGTAATCAGAGTTTTGGATCAATATGCAAAAAGAAACATTTCTTTTACATGTAATTTTGGAAGTTTACATGTGGCTTTCAAAATTGTGACTTTCACATTTTTCTCAAACTTCACTGCAGCCTGAGAACTAAATTTAACTTTTAATATGGTCCATGTACAAAAATAAGTTTGACACCCACAGGTTTGAATTGTTATTTTGTTTGCAAATTAATAAATTTCAAGTTACACATTTTTTGTTTTAACATGTTCTTTTAATGACAGATAGAAACTAGAATATCTATTAACTTCTTATTTAATTACACCATTCATTGTTATCAATATAAGTGAATCTCAAAACAATTACACAATAAAATTCAATTATTATATTTAATTTGATGATTATGATTAAAAAAAATATCTAACAAATTATAATTCACAAGAATTAGAAAGATTGGCAAATGAAATTATATAAACATATTCTATGGAAATATTAATAAATGCTTTTGTATTAAAATATTAAAAGCTAAAATAAATATTGCAAAAATAATTTTATTTTAAAATACATAATTTCAAATAAGTATAATAATAATTATATATGAAATATTTATTTTATGTAAAGAATTTTAAAAGTGTTGTGTAAAATAAATAAATTTGTGTTTTGCTTCTTATTAAAAGCATTTTCAAGTCTTGCATTACATAAAAGACAAAAATAGAACTCCTCTTAATATGGTAGAAGGATGGTAGACACTCAATAGAAGGAATATTTTTAGAAATTGTTGAACAAAAAACAAACCATTATTAGATACAGAAGTACCGGTACATGAATCTTTAGGTCAAATCTCATACAGAAGTCATAGTAACAAAAAAGATGAAAAATAGCAAAGCAGTAGTGGGTTTAGATAGAATAACAATGGAGGTGTGGAAAATTAAGAGATAACCTTAACCAAATTGTTAAATAAGATCTTAGAGTGGAAAAATGTCAGAGGCCTGGAAGAAGAGAATCATTATTTTTTTCATAATTCGAAGTTTAGACTATTTACAAAAAGTCAAATTAACTTTTGAGTCCATCTTTATCCCTTATACACTACCACAGAAGTAACAGTCTTAAAAAATTGCTTTGAAGAACTCTTCTTAAACACAGGTAAAAATTGGTAAAAAAAACTTCAAGGTTAAAAAAAGATCAAGTGTCAGCCTTTTCTTGTAGGTTTCTGACACTTTTACAATTAAAAACACAAAGAAATTCTTCACACCTTATCATTTTTATCCACTTTTTAAACTGCTTCTGGCCCTCTAGTGGGAGTTACTAGTATCTACATTATTTTTGTAAATAGTCTAAACTTCGAATTATGAAGAAAATACATCCTGAGTTATCACAAAAATTGTAATTATAGAGAATTATTATAAAAATTGAAAATTATAAATATACAATCAGTTGTAAAAAGAAAGTTGGTGCAGATGCTTGTGATAACTACTGCTGAATCAAATTCATGAACCATACTATGAAGGCTCAAAAACTGTAAATTATCCCTGGAAATCAATTTGGCTTTGTATGTGGGAGATTGATCAGAGAAGCCAGAGACATATACAGTATAAGGAGAGTGCTGGCTACATTGCACTATACTTTCTTAAATGATATTATTTTTAGTAGAGTTTAATTTCATTTTAACTAATATTATTCATGTAATTGTTTTTAATAAAAATACTTAACAGTATGTTTTTAATAAAATTCAATATAAATGCTGCTTTAATCATTAAACAAACAATCGCATCACAAACGGTGATGTTTTATTCAAAAATCAAATGTTATGTCTATTTTGATACACTGAATCAAAATACACTGATAACATATGATTTTTGAATAAAACATCACTGTTTGTGGTGTGATTGTTTGCTTAGTATATTACTGTATTAAATGAATGAAATTATTTCAATTGTAGAAGAAAAAATTGAAAAAATATTTCTGTGACATAAAATATCTTTAAAATATTCTGGATATCTCCTAAGAAAAATAATCGTGATTATAGTGAAAACTTATGGAAAAATAAAGAGAAAAGATATTTTTTATTTGATCTTTGTGGCACTAGAAAACTTAGATTTTGCTAAGCTACTTCCTGTTTGCTTCTCTGCTGAACACAATAACAAAAGATATACAAAGAGATCTCTTGGTAAGATGAAAGATGTAGTGACAAAACTTAATGGATGATAAGTGGAACTAAGTCTGAATATTGACAGGAAAAAAAAAAAATGTAATTTATGGAGTAATATTTCAAATATTACATTTTCTTTTACTAAGAACTAAGCCATCCTCACTTTCCTTAAAACAAGGATGACTTGAAAATGGAAGATCATCAGCCAACTAACAAATTTTAAATATGTTGCATTTATATTCCAAGTGAATGAAAAAATTAATGAAGAGATTACAAATAAGATCAATTATATATTTATAGTTGATATGTATCATTGAGACTAAAAGAGTGTTATAAAATAGTAGTTGGATCCAAAATGTTAAATTGATCAGAATGTTGGGCAGTTAAGAAACATGAACAAAAAGTAAAAATTTAATAGCTTGATCACATAGTTATGTTTCTGGTTGTCATAATATCAAATGATTATTGCAGATGCATATCTATGTGGAGATATAGAAGGCCTCTTCTGTCTTCAGCATTTCATTTTCAGGAGCCCAATGCTGGCATTTTGCATATATAAATAAAATTATTTTCCATTCATTCATACAAGAAGTAAACAATTGTTATATATTTTGATGTAGAATATAGATGTTTAACTTGTAATAATGTATAATTATATGTAAAACATTGTAATATTTAATAAAAATTATTTTAAAAGATCAGTAAACATTATTATTTTTCATTAAATTTTTATGCTGAGTTTATTCATTTACAGTACAGTATAATGATGTGTTGAAAACATTTTAATTGGTTATCTTTTTTTTGTTGTTGTTGTTGTTGCAGGAAAAACTAAATTAAAATAAAACAACTTGGAGTGAGCTACTATAAAGTAATCATTGTAATTTTATTTCTTCATAACTTTATAATGGTTGAATGATGAATCAAATAAAAAACTCAAAAATGTATAAAATCTGAACATGTTACTAAATCTAAATCTGATTTATCAAAACTTTTGTGCACTTTTGGTATTTGGATATTTTGATGAATGTTTTAAAGTTTTATTATGAACTATCAAAATTTAATTTCAGATATAATAATTGGAACTTTATTCCCAGATAAAGTTTGCTTGCTTTTTGTTATTTTTTTATTTTTGGATGATCACAGTTTTAATTAAAAAATTAAGTTTTAAGGTTTAAAATTTTTAATGTAATATAATTAATTTCAAGATTTCAATGCCAGATATTTTTCATTATCTAAATAGGATTTGACTAATGTACAACTTGAGATGAATACATGACACTTTCAATGACAATGATTTGTCAAATAGTCTAAAGCAGTGTTTTTCAACCTGTGGGTCGCAACCCCCAGGGGGGTCACAAAGCCTTACACGAAGGGTCACGGGTAAAAGAAAAAGACAAGTGTTTGTAGGTCCTACACTACAATAAAAAGAAAAACTACAATTTCAGTGATAAGGCTGTGCCTGTTTATTTTATACTCTAAAATAAACCTGAAAAACCAGTTGTGCTGTAAAATTTACAGTACAATTGGTTTTTCGATTGATATTTAAGTCTCAACAGAAAGAAAATTAAATACTTAGTTTTTAAATCGCTGATATAGTTTTAATATGGTCCTAGGAGGTCACCAGAATTTTTTAACTTGTAAAGGGGTTGCGTATTCAAGAAGGTTGAAAAACACTGGTCTAAAGCATCAAATTGCCAAAAGAATGAACTAGTTCAGAACAGAAGTATAGTAATTATGTAAACATTGTATTAATAATGACTGGATTTTTTAGGTCACAACATCTAATAAATCAAACTTCAGGTGGTGTTACAATAGTGAAAGTTGGTGGTAGTAAACAAGAGTTAACAACAATTACCCAAACAACAACAACAGTATCCACAGTACAATCATTATCGCCTTCATCAGGATTTATTTCTCCTATTTTGATGAAACCAAATATTCAGCATGGTGGTATGAGAGGAAGTCGATCAAATTTAATTATATCAAGACAAAATCCAGTCCTTCCGCCTGAAGCTAGATCTATGACTCAACTCAGTTCTCTGCAGGCAGTTAATTGTAGTATGGGCCGCTTACCTTCAATGAATACTTCAAGTAAGTTTTATAATTAAAATTTTTTAAATTATTCATTGAATATAAAAGTTTATAAATAAATATTCCATATATTTGATAACTGAATGATATTTTACAAAAATTATTTTTCTTTAAATAAATTAAGTTTTTAAGCTATTAATAGTATTCTGTATCGATTAGTAACAGACAAAATCATAAGTCTGTTATATAATAATAATAAATTTAAAAGAGAATGTCAGTATCAGAGTTTTAAATAATTTAAACAGAAAAATTACAATAAAGGAAAAAGAGTTGTGAGCATATTATCTAAGAAATCTAATAGATGGTCTCCCAAAAATATGGAATATAACCTGTATGTTATGAGTAAAATATGAGTCATTGAAAGGAATGCAAAGCTACCAAAAATTAATTGATATATTGAATTGACAATATCTGCCAGAGTGAAGATTGCAGTTCATTGTTACTAACAAATTTGAATCAGCGATGTAGAATTGATTTTCAGTTAATAATTGATGATAGGATGCTGAATTTCTTATTCCTAGTGACAGTTGGCTCTTTGAAGGAAGCACTGTTGGATCTTGTTGGCAAGGCATTTACAATCTCAATAATATTTACTGTATTTATGTTTATATTGTTTATTTATATTTACTGTGTTTATTATTTATATTGTTAATAATTANAAAATTAAAGACCATAAAGTTTTTTTTAAATAATTCACTATGAATTAGGTACTAATATATCATACTCAATTATTTGTTACTAATTTCACATTTTAAAATTTACCTTTTAAGTCACTATCCTTAATTATATACACAAATGTATATTATATATATTTATGATAAATGTATTTTTATAATAAAATGTAGTTAACACACTAAATAAGATAGTAAAATATAATTATTATCAAAGATTATTGGACATATTTTTGAATTTAAAGTGATGTCAATTATGAACAAAAGATCAATTGTTTCCTGTCATCAAATGATATAATTTTATCTGCAGAAAATTCTTTAAATTAGTAAATATCATATTCTGGAGGATTTAAACAACCAATAATTTGCAGCAAATAGAAAAAAGTAGTTCAAAATCATAAGTATCAAAATAATTAAATCAAAATTTTCTCGTTGAGGATTGCAGAAATGTTTGCATTATTTAATTTTTATATAAATGTCTATTTTCTTAGAATGGTATTTATTTATTTGCTTTATTAATAATCTGTAAATGGAAAATTCATTGAGGTATTGACTATGAAAAGTAGATGGAAAATATAAAATAACTTAAGCTCTCTATAGTCCATACAATGGATATTTTTAATTTACTACAGGTAATAGCAATTTATAATATTTTCTAATAACTCTTTCAAAATTCCTCTTTTTATAACAATAAAGAGGCATTAAAACTTTACATAAAAAATTATATAAGCATTATTATACTAATTCTTACTTAATATAAAAAATTTTACATTTATGCCATATTATTTGAAATTTTTTTTTTTGTTTTAATGGGAAAATAATTAACAAATTTGATTGCTATTTAAATAATTTACACACACACACACATATATATATGTATATGTACATATTTCTAGTGGAAGTATGCCAACATTACAGGAAGAAGCACCAACTTCTGTTACAGTTTCTATCAATAGTGCCATTCCTCATTCAAATCCTGGTCAAGATGGGCCATCTCTGCATCCAAGTCAATCAACTTCTCCAACTACCTCTGCAAGTCAGTCTGCTATTACTCCTGTAACTTCTCATAACCAACAGGCAGTAACAGTTTCACTTAATTCAACAACTGTGCCATCATCTGCTGTTACATCTATTTCACATAGTCCTAAAATGAGAAATAATACAAGTGTTACTCTGATTACACATACAGGATCAGCAAATCCACAGGTTTGTTTCATTAACAACTTAATATTTTAAAAAGTGAATAAGTCTATATTGATAACTGAAAAAATACTTATTCTGTATTACCTAGAGGATTTCAGTTTTTGAGCCGTATCCTATGCGAGATGCTGTTCAACACTTCTGTGAGAAACATCTTGATAAAATTAAAGCCTATATGCAAAAAATATTTGTTAAAATACCCCTTCCTGTAAAATGCACAATTGAAGGTAAGCATGATTTTAAATTACTAAAACTTATTTAACATGTTCACTACCAGTATAAAAACTAATTTTCCTGCCAATATACCAAAATTTATTTTTTGTTTAATCATAATATTCTTATTAAAAGTGACAAAGGAATTTTTGCTATTGTGTTTCCTCACATAAAAAAGGACATGACACTTTGTTTTAGTAATAAAATATTATTATACAGAATACTAATATAAAATCAATAGATGAAATACAGTGAAACCTCGGTATACGTCTGCTTTAGAATACGTCCAATTCGGAATACGTCCTGTTTGAACGAAACAAATTTTGCTCGGTATACGACTTTTATTCGGTATACGACTTAATTCAATTATACTTGCCATCTATGAACAATTTACATTATCGGTGTACTACACTAGACTAGACGTTCGCGGTGCTACGGTTTATAACTTTGTTAAATTTCTTCTGATTTTAATTTGTAAGTAACATTTTATTATTTTTATTAATCATGAATTGCAAAAGGGCAACAGAAAAATAAAAAAATGACTAGAATCACAACGGAACTGAAAAAAGAGATTGTTGAGAAATATGAAGGTGGCACGCGTGTTCGAGATTTAACTGTTGCATTCCGTATTCCGAGAACGACGATATCGACAATCGTGAAAAATAAAGACATTATTAAATTTGCTAACGTTGCGAAAGGGGTTAAATCAATTTCTAAACAGAGATCGAAGACATTAGATCATGTCGAGAAATTGCTTTTGCTTTGGATAACTGAAAAACAGTGTGCCGGCGACAGCGTATCGGAAGAAATTATTTGCGAGAAAGTTAAAAGGATACATGCTGCTTTCATGAAAAATCAAGCAGAAACTAGCCAGGAAAGCGAGATGTTTAAAGCCAGCCATTTTTTTTTACATGAGAACGGATTAATCATTTTTACATTACTTCTTATGGAAAAGGTTGGTTTGGTATACATCCTATTCGGTATAAGTCCAAACACCAGGAACGGATTAAGGTCGTATACCAAGGTTCCACTGTATATTCTTTGAAGTGTATAATAACAATAAAAATAAACTTTTTTTTCTTATAAACAAAGGATAAATTTTTTCCAAGTAGTGGTGATATCAAACTTTGAGGACACACAAGTGTTCTTGACATATTGGACAAGGCACCCTAAGAGTATCCTCAGCACTGAATATGTTAAAAATCAAATTAATGAATAATTGTATTCCTTAATTTGATTTTCTAATGTAAAGATTCAGAAAAATTTGAAAATATTTGATTAACTTAAATTTGAAATTTTTTAAATTATTCATTGAATATAAAAGTTTATAAATAAATATTCCATATATTTGATAACTGAATGATATTTTACAAAAATTATTTTTCTTTAAATAAATTAAGTTTTTAAGCTATTAATAGTATTCTGTATCGATTAGTAACAGACAAAATCATAAGTCTGTTATATAATAATAATAAATTTAAAAGAGAATGTCAGTATCAGAGTTTTAAATAATTTAAACAGAAAAATTACAATAAAGGAAAAAGAGTTGTGAGCATATTATCTAAGAAATCTAATAGATGGTCTCCCAAAAATATGGAATATAACCTGTATGTTATGAGTAAAATATGAGTCATTGAAAGGAATGCAAAGCTACCAAAAATTAATTGATATATTGAATTGACAATATCTGCCAGAGTGAAGATTGCAGTTCATTGTTACTAACAAATTTGAATCAGCGATGTAGAATTGATTTTCAGTTAATAATTGATGATAGGATGCTGAATTTCTTATTCCTAGTGACAGTTGGCTCTTTGAAGGAAGCACTGTTGGATCTTGTTGGCAAGGCATTAACAAATTTGATTGCTATTTAAATAATTTACNCCCCATGTTATTATTTTACTGTACTGTTTGACAATCAGTCTACTTGATAAACGCATTTTATATCTTTTATTTTAGTGGTTTTTACTGATTCCTTTTTAAGGTTTTTATGTATTTTTCACCCTTTCTTAGCAACTTTTATGTTTTATTGGTATACCCTTTTATCACATTTTAATAGTGTATTTTATAGTCATTTTTTATTTTTATTTAATAAGTAAATATTTTTATTTACTTATTAAATCTAGTTTAGTTTTACCCTTTGTTTTTAAAATATTTAGTTACTCCAGTATTAACTATTAAATATCATTTTAGCTAATCTTATTTTTTGTGAGTTTTATTCATATTTAAGATATACAGTAAACTCCCGATTATCTGGGCTAATGGTGGGGAGAGGTGGCATGAATAATCAAAAAACACGGATAATCCGAACTATAATTATTTATTTGAAAAAATATTAATGAATAATATGTATTATACATACGTACATATAATCAAATCTTATTTTTTGTGAGTTTTATTCATATTTAAGATATACAGTAAACTCCCGATTATCTGGGCTAATGGTGGGGAGAGGTGGCACGAATAATCAAAAAACACGGATAATCCGAACTATAATTATTTATTTGAAAAAAATATTATGAATAATATGTATTATACATACGTACATATAATCAAATCTTAAATTGTGATACATATTATAGCATGCAACTAAATGAAACTTTGTATAAAAGTACTTACTATCGTTTTCTTCTCTGAAAAGAAACATCTGGCGCAAAAGAAGCGGCCTAACTAAAACCAGTCCAGCTGACTTCAAATACCTTCACCACGCACTTCAAACATCTAAATATGAACATGTGCACACTTATAGGATGCATAAACATGAAAGCAAGCAACTATTTAAAAAATACATGCACATATAATTATTTTTTTTTAAATTAAATTCATGCACGAATAATCCACAAACCAGATAATCTGCACACGGATAATCGGGAGTTTACTGTTGTTTTAAATTACTATAATTAAGATTACATTATTTAACTTTCAGGAATTTTAATAAATATTAAATAATATGTAAATATTTAAAAAAAAAAACATTTTAGGCAAGAGCATCATCTGCTTTAAGTACTCGTGAAGCATCTGTTGGAAGTCTGAAAAACTGTTGGGATACTTTAAAGGCTGACAATAAAACATTTTTGACACTTGTTACATCTGCTTTTCCATCTGCAAAGGTAATTTGGTTTTGTGTATAAATGAATAATCTAATACACAACAGTTTTCAAAAATTATTTCTCTCCAATTTGCTGCTTTGTTTTGATAGTGGCCTAATTTTAAAAATGTTAATTTTACAAGGGAAGCATTTAAAAATTCCAATTGACTAACATTTGAATATGAGTTGATAACACAATCTGTTCTTTGGTGGGAATCTAATGGAGGTAGAAATATGTCATTTTACATGATAAAGGTATTCTGCCTAAGGAGTTTATTTATGCAAAAAAAAGAAAGCAAAATTAGATTTTTAGTTGTGCCATTATCAGTGATATTATATTACATACTAATAAAGAAGTGTTAAATTTTTTAATAAAAAAAAATTATTTGAATTTAAAGTATTCAACATATAATACTGAATAATAATAAAAATGTGCTAAATTTAGTGGCATTATTTTGTATTTCCATGTTTTTTTAATACTACATTTAATTATTCTGTAATAAACAAAATTTACAATGAAACAGTAAAATATAAATATTCCAATGATTTTGATCAAAGTAATTACACTTTCTATTGTTTGTTTTAGTTTTACAGTTTGGAAATGATTGTGATTATTAATCATGGAAATCAAACATTTAATACTACTATTTTGATTTATTATATTTGAATATTTTTTGGCTTCTATAATTTGAATTTTATATTTATTGCTTAAATGAATTACTTCATATTAGAAATAAAGATCATATTAGCAATAGTTTTATTTATACAGTATGTACAGTACCAGAAGTTGCACCTCATTGGAAAAAACTAATACCAGGCATATAAATTAGCATGGTATTGAGTTTTTGAATTAACATAGTAGTGAAACTAATTATAATCTCAAAAAGAATTTTATATTCAAATGTTACAGATAGATTCATGTAACATTTAAATTTATGTCCTGTTAAGTGCCTATAGTGTTGACAGAGTAAAAAAGACAAGCTATGGTTTTTCTAAAGTTTAAAAAAAAATGCAGAAAATGTCACCAATAACTAATGGTGAGGATCTTACAACAGTTTATATACATACAGTATAGATTACTTGCCAAAGAAAGTACTTTCTGATTATTAAACACAGTACAATATTATTAATACAGAAAAGGCTATTTTTGTATTCAATTGTTTTATCATGTGGAATGATATACTGCATTTACAGGCAAACTTTCTTTTTAATTCAATACCATGTTTCCCCGAAAATAAGACATCCGCAGAAAATAAGACCTAGCACATATTTTGCTGAATTGCGAAATATAAGACCTCCCCCTGAAAGTAAGACCTAGCGAAGTTTTTTTTAGTCGTAAAGGTCATCGACAGATGGTTAAAAGTGGCCGTTGGCTTTTTGAAAGTACAGCCACTGATTGGTCAGCAGACAATTACGCCACACGGCATGATTTGCATAAGACTATGGCTTGGGAATCACAGATTTGCATAACGTTACAGCTGGTGATGGCTAATTGGTCGGCCGGGAATCACGCCACATGACATTTGCATAGTGCTACGGTTCAGTAAGCACTAATTGGTCATCGAGTCCGATGTTGACGCTATAAAAAGGCGACAGTTCGACACACCGGATATACGTCACTCTCGTCTAAGTTCAACTTGGGAATTTTTTTTTCAATAATAAATGTGAATAATTCTTCCTGGAAAAAATAAGACATTCCCTGAAAATAAGACCTAGCGCATTTTTCAGAGCAAAAATTAATATAAGACACTGTCTTATTTTTGGGGAAACACGGTAGCTGTAGTTGAATAACTTTTGTAATTCTTCTAACTTAGTGCAAGTTGAAGCTTTATTAATTGTGAATTATTGTATAAAAATTTAATTCTTTTTGGGCTTTTATTTCATATTAGACTAAAAGTAATCTATATCTTAATTGTATATATTTATTAAAAAATTAAATCTTAATCTGTTGAAGTAGGTTGAGGTTGTAAAAATAGTGGGAAAGTACAGTTAAACACTTTGTGTCATTTCTTGCAAATGTACAAATAAGATAATTGTCAATCTGGTGGATTGGTGGCCACTAGTCAGTTGTATAGTGTGAATTATCTTTAATTTATGATTGAAATTTAAAATCAGCATATAACCTACCTTATTACATAATTCAAACCCTTTCAAATTATATTTCAAACACAAATAACCCACAGATTATCTACATGAAATTATGATACTTGTTTAATTGATTAAATAATAATTGTAACTGTTTAACATTTGTAAGTATGTGATTTTTGTGTTAAACTATTTTATTTTTAAAATATAAGTAGAAAATTAATTTGTTAATTTATATGCATATTTCAGGATAATGATATGTTGATCAATGAACTGAGAAATTACAGATTTTTTGATGTCTTTGAATATAATGGACCCAAAAATATTTGGGGGTGTTTTCTTTGTAACCATCCAGAAAGAGCACTTGGCTTCTTGCAAACAAATGAACCTGTGATTGAGGTAAATAATTATTTATTTTAGTTGTTATAATTTCAAAATTATAAATACATTGTATCAATCATTATAGTTAAGAAAAAAATATGATATGTTAACTTATATTTTGTTTTATAAATAAAAGTGAAAAAATATTTTAAAATAGGACATTAAAACAATAATTGTGAAATTAAAATTAATGTGAATTAATTGTAGAATTTGTATACTATAAACTTATCAACTTGTGATTATATGGAAAGAAAACTTTTAAGTTTAATAATATCCTTTTAATGTTGATTTGTCATACTGTAATATTATACAATAATAATTTATGAATATTTTCAACTTTTTTGTATCAAAGACATTTTTAGCATTAATCAAAAACTATTCTAAATGATACAGAAATAAAATAAATAAATGAATAAATAATGCAGCCATTCAAAATTGTATTTAATAGATTTTTTTCCTGTATATTAATGTTTATTATTTTTAAGATTTTAAGAATAGAGCTTCACACATTTCAATAATTATAAGCTATAATTTCTGTATTTTTTTATTTACAAGTTTGTCTTACATAATGTAGAAAGATTTTAATACAATTGCTTATATAAGTTAATGAATATTTCCTTAATCATATAGAGATTGATTGATTGATTTATTTTTTTCTTAATGCTGTGTTCTGCTGATGTTTTATTATTGCTTATATTGTACTAAAGTTTCATGGCTATACTTAAATGGATTATGTTGCATTAATAAATAATAATGTTATTATTTTCAATGATATATTACATATTTCAGCTTTATTCATATCAGCACCAATTGTCTCTTCAGAGACAATAAGTTGAGCTTTAAATTTAATTGAATATTTTCTAATCACTTCATCAATATGATATGACTAGAAAATATTAAACTAAATTTAAAATTGTTATGGGCATATTAATGTATAAATTTCTCAAAGAATTTTTTTAATAAAGGTATACCTTGCTTTGAAGTACAGTCGACCCCCCCATAACACTGTTGATTTTTCCGTTTTATATGAATTCTATGTTGTACGAGTCACTTAGATTTTACAAATACGTGAGCCATTCACAGCCCGGCACACGTATTTGTAAAATCTAAGTGACTTGTACAACATGGAATTCATATAAAATGGAAAAATCAACAGTGTTATAGGGGGGGTTGACTGTATTAGCACCTTAGGTATTAATTTAAGCACATTATTTAGCAAAGTACTTTAAAGTGAAGAGTAACTTTTTTAGAGCTCTTTGCTAATGTGCTTTTCAATTATTTTCATGTGTGTTATTTTTGGTATTGCCTTGCTCCTAAGGAGGTTTTTGGGGTATATTTTTTATTATTATTATTACTTTAAATTATTTTTAGACTAGAGCAATTACATGATAAATGATATTGTGAATGTTTTTGGGCTTTTATATGCACAAAAAGCCTGTGATTCACTTTAACATGGGGTTTTATATGTTAATACATCTTAGTCTTTATGGGAACATTTTCTTTCATCTTCATTCCCATTATAGGAATAAACTAAAAAAATTGCTTTCATCAATCCTTTGGTTTGCATATATGTTTAGCATTCCAAATTTCCAAGAATGTTTTTAAAGTTCACAAAGTTTAATATTGTGAGGTTGCTAATATTTTTAATAAAATTTCTAGATGCTTTTTTCTCCCTCCTATTTGTTAATTTTTCATTAAAATATAGTCACATAACTGAATTTATTTTTACATAAATGCTAATACAGTACAGTCTTGAAAATATGATATATATGGGACCAGAACAGTGTCAGATTAAGATAATTGGAATATTGAGAATAAGGTGAATTCAATGGCTTAATCCAGGGGGTCACCAAACTATGGCCTGCGAGCTAGATGCGGCCTGTGAGGTAAGTTCATCCGGCCCACCACTGCACTATGCTAAAATATAATTATTTATATGGAAATATCATAGATTGTAGATAAACTTACTATGTAAAAAAAATTAAAATAAGTATAAGTAAAAATTCCAAAATTGATCCAATCTGATTTTTGCATCTGACAATAATATAACTTTTAGATAAATCAGTGAAATAAAAAATTTGGCAACTTTTTGTTACTGGATATCTGAGCACTTTTTGTATAAGTAGTGGTATCTGCAATGAAGTTCCTAAGAAAATCAATTACAAGCTTGCTGCAGCAATCAAGTTAGTTGTCTTTATTTTTTGTGTATTCAGTATGCTGTATTGAACAAAATGGTTATGTGCCCGTGCTCGTCATTCTGTTATCTGACCTGCTATGAAAAAAAAGTTTAACGGCCCCTGGCTTAATCATTGGGAAAGAAAACATTTGTTTATTTGCATAAGTACAAGTTGAGCCCCCTATAACACTGTTGATAATTCCATTTTATATGAATTCCATGCTGTACGAGTCACAGATTTTACAAATATGTGTGCCGGGCTGTGAATGGCTCATGTATTTGTAAAATCTAAGTGACTCATACAACATGGAATTCATATAAAATGGAATTATCAACAGTGTTATAGGGGGGTTGACTGTACATTGTATTAATCAAAAACATTTATAGATCATATGTTATTGTATTTTAGCATTCTCGAAGTAATTGTAAAACTTTTAAAAATGATTTTGAATTGTCTTTTGCCATTTTCTCATGGGCACACTGCTGTTGCTGCTAATCATGCTGCCAAGTTGATGGATTCATACTAAATTTAGTGAAAATTGAAGCAACCATTGGAAATTTGATGGGAGGTACAATATTTTTGGTGGTAAATTTTGGGAACTGATTTTTATATCAATATTTATACAGTATTGTGTTATAAGATACTGTTCATTTTTTTTTTTTTTTTGAGCAGTCCAAGTTGTTGAATCTAGAAGTCTTTAATATTGTGCCAAGCTCAGGATTAATATCATGTCATGTTTAGTAGGAACTGGATTTTGAAATAGTGGAAATTGGTAATAGTGATACTCAAGAGTTGACTAGTTTTGGATTACTAGTTGACTCTTGAGCATTACTAGCACTGTACAGTGCTGTATTTGAAATTTAAATAAAAATGTTAAGTAAATTTGAAATTACAATCTTGTCCATTATTATATTAATTACTTTCCCATAATAAATTGAGAAAAAAAGAAATGAATATTGTAAATAATAGTCAAATTCCATTTATAATGTTTACTCAAAATTGACTTTTTCTCCAAACAACTTGTAATTTTAGTTCAAAGTATATTTGTATATGTAGTATAATATATATATATATTTCACATCAGATGTTTAATGAGAGATAGTTTCATTATTCATAGTATTTTGAACAATTGGAAATTATACAGTGATAAGTTTGTAGTCCTTCCTTCAAATAAAAACACTAATTGAAAATATTAGTTAAAACATCGAGAGAAATTAGTGTCTGTATTAGTATTAATAATATATATTTTAATACTGATACAGCCATATATATGTATATAAAACAAGCAATTATCTATTGTGAATCAACACAATGCCAGATTATATTTTCTAATCATATATTTTAAAATTAATTTAAAGTATATGCTCTCCACTTCACATTAGTAATGTCTTGCCCCTGTACATAATACTTTCCCTGTTAGGAACAGTCATGACATCATCCTCTAACTTCTTACAGGGGAAAATTTTTGATTTGAAATAATGTGATCTCCAGTTTGTATCATAAGTTCATATACAGTTAATGAGCCTCCTGTCTTTAAGCTTTCCATACATGTCTTGGCTTTCATCTATCTAACTCTGCTCTTGTGATTAAGGAAGGAAGGAAAGACAGACAGACGACAGTGGGATTTTATAGGTCTACAATTTTTTCAAATTGCAGCCCAATTATTAAAATATCTAATATCATGTTATGTCTATACATCACAAGTTCTACATGAATGTTTCACCAATAAAAATAATTCATTTCTATGGCAACTGTTCAAATTCATATTTTGGTAAAAAAAAATTTTTTACAAAAACTTAACGGTCAAAAGAAAAAAATCTTTATTGATCATTTGATAAATCTTAACACAATATAAGCTGGACTTAAAACATCAGTAATAATTGATTTTTCTTGAATGTAACAGGGGATCAAAACTCAAAATTTATAACTTATACAATATTGTCTTGGTAATTTTATCCATGGTAGAAATTTTCCACAATAAACTAAATATATTGATTTGTCAGTCTAGCCAACTAGTTTGCCAAAATTCAAATATTGACAAACTAGTTGGCTAAATACATTTTTGCAATAGCAAGAACTTAAAAGTTTATATTTTAGATTCAGGACAATTTGGCAAATTATTTGATGATAGTCTTTTTGAAAAATGTGATAAAAGAAATTTTATAATTTAATAAAGTTTTAATAATTTTAAGCAAAAATCAAATTTTTCATTCCTTCTCCAGTTATTTTTGGTGGGTTTTTCACCATTGGTAATTTTTTTAGTTAAAAAACTTAATCTTACTGATAGCTGATATTTCTTCTCCCATTGAAAAAGATAGCTTATATTATATTTTCCAAAATTGATCTACAAAAATTAGAATTAAGTTTGTAATACTGCTAAATGTATACTTATAATTTATGACATTCTGAAATATAGAAATTATATAAAGTATTAATTTTTCCCAAATAATAAGAAAACTATTTTAATCTTTATTATTTAAGGGCCAATTAAAAGAGAAAAAAGGAAGGTGGAAATTATTTCGTCGCTGGAGAACTAGATATTTTACTTTATCAGGTGCACATCTTTCCTATAGAGGTTCGGTATGTATATTCACAGAAACGTTTTTATTTTAAGCTGAAAATTAAATAATAATATTTATTATTAAAACTTTACAGAAAGGTGATAAGGAAGTGTCTCCTATCGAAGTTAGTCAAATTCGTAGCGTGAGGGCAATAAGTAGCCGTCGCAACATACCAAAAGCTTTTGAAATATTTACAGATGACAGGACTTTTGTTCTTAAAGCAAAAGATAGCAAAAATACAGAACAGTGGGTTCAATGTATATCCATTGCTATGGCTCATTCTCATGCTAAAGATACTACCCATTAAATGTATACGTGTAAATGTAAAGATTAATATTTTTAATCTGAATGGCTCAAAAAAAAAAAAAAATGCAATTGTATAGTTTCTTTTTACAAGAATTGTAAAATTTTATAAATTGATTCTTTTGTCTAATAAAATTTTAATGTAAACCTTAATTACAATTATTTGTATACTCTATAAGAGTAATCAGATGTAAATAATTTATGATATCTTAAAAATTGATGTAAATATTTACGATATAGTTATTGTCTATCAAATTATTGTTTTGTGATGTTATGTATGTAAAAGAATATTCTAAATTTTATCAGTATTGAAACATGACTTCCAATTACAATCAGATTTATTATTATTTGAAATTTGGGCATTTATTTTCAATAATATAGTGAAAACTTGAAATCAAAGTTTTTGAGTGCTAGATGTAAATTTTGTGCCTTAACTTTCTAAGAAAAAGTAAAAAAAACCATGCTCATATCTTTGAAATAAAATTTCATATTAGATATATATATCTATATACATACCTGAGTGCTTTCTTTTTGACAATATGAACAGTTTGACTGGTTGAAATCCTTATTATTTAGGATTTCAGAAGATGTGTAATTTTTTTATCTCTTTTTTTTTTCGTTTTTTTTTATGAAAATCTGTAAATGTAAGGTCTCTCTAACTGTTTTTTTCATTTATAATAGTTATGACAATCAAATTTGGAGTTTTTTATAATTCAAAATTTAATGAAAATATTATCTTTAAGAGTTTACAACTTGCACACTTAAATGCACAGTGAATATCCTATGTTTATGCACTGTATTCACAAATATAAATATTGCAATACAATTTCTGAATTCCAAATAATCTTAAGAGTATATGAAATTAATATATGAATGAACAAACATTGAGAGAGACTCAAAAAATATGTATATTAATCTGAATGTAATTAATCAATCTAACTAAAAAAGCTACATGTTTTATGTATATATATATATTGATAATTTAATACCACTGTTTGTTAAAATCTTGTGATATATCAAATTTGTTTTGCTGTATTTTAAGAAATTTAATATTTTAGAGCCATTTGATAAAATTATCTTTACATGTAACTATTATAATTTATCTGCTGGACAGAATATGTATAGATACTGCCATATTTAACATTACTAATGCTTTTATTTCTTTGCTTTAATGAAATTTATCCAAATTTACATTTGTTATATAAAGCAAATTTTAAAATGACCTGTATTGGTAATTTGATTTGCTTTCTATACTGTTGAAATCACATGATAAAAACCTCCAAAATTCCTGACCAAGTTTTTGTTGTGTATCTAATTCTTATATCACAGATGTGTTTTATTTTTGTAAGTTTTAAATAAATTTTTGACATTATTTTATGATAAAAATATATACAAATGTTTGTTTGAATTTTACAGTTCAATTTTAATCAAATTGTGATAAATCAGTTGCTTTCTTGGAATGTTCACACACCTAATACCCTGAAAATCAAAAGAACATTGTTTTAAATTAATTTTGTTAATAACTTTCAAGTACACTTAAAACTTTTGTAAAATAAAAGATATTAAGACTCATTACCTTTAACACATTGATATCGTCACATTTTAATTGTTTTCTATGAACTTTAGCAGTTTTAATATCTTCAAGTTGTCTTAATATCCTCATTGTTGTATTTAAAAAAGGGCAAACAACTATATTTGAATTTCTTGAAAACTGCTCTTCATTTAAATGCAGAACTTCTACTTTCGGATGTCTCTCAACTGTCGGTTTATTTCTCTTAGGATTACTCAAATTAATAACTGTTGTAACTTTTTTCTCATTCTCTTCCAAGTTTGTACGACTAAATATTGCTTTGTGGGAATATTTTTCTGGCTTTTGAATATTCGTCATAATGCTTTACAGTTTGTGAATGAAATTCAAGTTTATCTGCAGGAAAATATATATAATTTAATGAACTAGCCAATGATTACTCAGCCAAATTAATCAATGTACGTTTAACAAATGATTCCACTTCAAACTATCCTTGCTCGAAGACGGCTCATTAACTGGGTCGAAAATGTTAGCATTATTTAAACTTCATCCACTGTTAAAACTGCATTGATTAACTCAGCCATATAATTTAATTAATGTTGAATTGTATATTTATGAGATAAAGCAGATTAATTTATAATTACGAATTATATATTGGATTTTTTCCGTAATATTTTTCATAATTACATATAATTTTTTGAAAGTTCTGCTTCAGTAATTTTAATTTAGCAGATTATAGATGTTTTGATATTCATTTTAGATACTGTACATTATTTTCAGATAGTTAGTTTTATATAAAGTTTGTGTGTGTGTGTCACAAAATATGTGAATAAATGATCTAAAAGTATGTAATTACTGTTTCCTTTTATCATCATTGGATTTAATAACAAGTATAGTTTAAACTTAGAAAGATATCTTTAATTTCATTAATACTTTTGACTTTTAACTGATTAAAACTGCCAAAGTTTATAAAGTTTTTAAATAAATTGAATTTCTTGGCAACAAAAATCGTCACAGTACTCATTATTCGTGTAAGACATTTTTGATTCCCATTTTGTTATTTATTTATACGAATTAAACGAAAATCACTTACATAACACTAAAATACATTAAATGAGATGGCTGGAGTAGCTAAATCAAAGTAAACAAAAAAATAAAAGTTGTATACTTGTTTGTATAAACACACTGTAAAGTTTTAATACGTAATAATTGTACAAAATACAAATTGAAGGCAAACTTACGGTACTTACGTCGTTAATAATTTATCATTTAAAAAAATGCAACTGGCAGAAGCGCCACCTGACGTTAACAATAATAATTTAAAAAAAATACAACGAAGATGTAGCGATGATCGTACCAATCGATACTATTGACTCCGATGTTTTGTGCTCATTTTTAGCAAATAGAATTTTTATAAAAAAAAGTTTGGAAAAAATATATTGAAGTTCTGTGTATAACAAATATACGGAAATCCAGTATATCTTATTGTAAATCGAGATCTCCCAAGGAATAAATCTCATTCGCTCGCTTTATGTTAAGGAGAATGAACGTAGGTTAATTATCTCTCTAAATCTGCATTAAAATAGAAAATTCTTCGAAGAGAGTGATTTAATAAATCTGAAAATTGCATTTATCAGACTCGTTTAGTTCTCCAAAGAGATTAAAATCCCAATATTACTCTTTCAGAAAGCGACTTCTCTTTTAATTACAGTTGTAGAATCATCTTTGATGCAATTACAATTTCTAGATAGGTATATATACTAATTTGAGAAGCACTAATCATTATTTTATACTTTTCTCTACTCGAGTTTAGCACTTCAAAGCGGTAATGCAGATTGCATTAAATGTTTGAATATGTACTGTACTATACTTTAAGAGTTTCGTCAAGTTATAGAATGGCGACCAGAAGGACTTTACATCATCTCGTTTACGAAATAATTATCGGCTATCATTCTGTACTTTTTTACGATAATACTTATTACTTAAATTTAGAATCGGAATAGAATTGAATCCAATAAATTATTTATTTAAAAAATATATTAATTTATCAACTCTAGAAAAGCGACACATAGCGTTCATATATTTTTTTTTTTAAAATTCGCTGATTGGAGATTAATTTAAATTGAAATACGTCATAGTCGGGGATTAATTTTTTTTTTTTTACTTTTTTTCTTTAATATAAATTAAACTGATAAAGTAATTTAAAATTTTCTATATTAAGTGTAATTATTAAAACATAAAATCAATAAAGCATAAAGTATTTTTTAAATATATAATATTAGTTCTTAATCTCGATTCCAAAATAAATATAGCGTCATTATCAAAAAATTATTTTAAAAAATGGAATAAACATAAAATTACATTTTAAATTTTAATAAGAGAATTTTATTATTATTTTGCTATTTAAATTTAAAAGTAAGATGATACAATAACTTTAAAAGATCAAATAAAAGTTTTTGGTAATTGAAAAACGGATTGACGTTTGATTATTCAGTAAAAAATTCATTATTGACGCAATGTTAAAGATATCTTCAAAACTTAATTATTATTCAAACCGTATTCGACTTATCTTCTTGGATAATCACGAAAAAAGAAAAAAAACTATTCTATCTACAAAGATCCTTTTTTATTTTTTAAAGGGAGATAAAATTACCGATGTATTTTTTACTCTTTCACGGATATTTAAATATAATTATATTTTATTTATTTAAAAAAATTCAGTTTAAATATATACACATATTAATTGTATTATATTCAAACTTATTTATATCATTAATAATTAATACAATTTTTAATTAAAACACCAAACAATAGATGGCAGCATCGTATGTTTTCCGATTAAATTTTATTCAAATGATAATTATATTTTTCGACGTTAAAAGAAATAAATTTTAATTTATCGAAAGGAAATTAAATAAAATAGTACGTAACAATTTATTAAAAATAAATAATCATATATATATAAGTTTGAACTTTTGTTTAAGTTTAATATATTACATATATTTTTTATTATTATTATTTATATTCTTGATAGAACTGTAACTTGCTAGTTTACCGCTAGAGGCAGTGCAATCGAGAGAGAGGAGCAAATAAAATAACAGAAATGCCCGAAGCTAAAAAGAAAAAAGTAAAAAAGAAAGAAAAAAAAGTAGATTAAAACCGATTAATAATAACCGGATTTACATTAATTTTTACCGAAACTTATTAATAAATTATATAATTAAATATTCATTAAAAAATATATATTTTAAAAATTATAATCAGACGTCATTAATCATAGACGGCGTTAAGATAAATTCGAAATTTAAGACGATAAAATAACAATAATTTGACAATTTTATTTTTTTAAATAGTCGAAATTAAAATAACGAATTTACGACTTTTGTTAATTATCATTAGAGTTAACGCAATTTAACGATTTCTTTAATGACTTTAGCAGATTTAATTGTGATAATGGAATGTTAATCACGCAATGTTAAAAATTTATATAGAAAAATATCTTAATGCGAGTTTTTAATGAGGAAAAAAAAATTATAATAATAAAAATTTAAAGAAAAATCCCCGAAAAATATACTTAATTCCGTTCACATCTTTCACTCCACAAACTCAAACGGGTGTAGACTAATACATTACATTTGATCATTATTTATCACGTGTATAGAAAAGTTTGGTCTATTGGGTCCAATATTTATAGCTGGAATAAGAGAATAACATCGTTTTTTGACATTTATAAGTCATCCAGCATATTAATCAGTCTTTTATTCCATTTATCCCTTTTTAGTAATCTTAATCCTTAGAAACAAATCAAAGAAATTTATGCATAATAAAAGCATTTTTCGAAATTAATTTAATGCTAATTTTAAAGTGTATTTTCTTAAATTTAATTCCAATTTCCCCTCTCCTTCATAGTAAATTTATCCTTCTTTCAGCAGCCTGTTAACATTTTTTATTTTTATTTTACCCTTTTTTATAATAGTAAACTTACGGACCTGTAAGCATTCTGCGTAGAATTTTTCAATTAAAAATAATCTATTTATAAAGAAAGCCATCGAAAATTAAAATAAAAATAGGTGTATAGGTACTTAAACCCTACGTACGCCGCTCAACTTGTTATATATTAAAACACGCGCCGCATTTTAAAGCTTTGAAAAAAAAAGGAAGAGGGGAAAAAATGTAAATTTTATTCAACAAGTCTTTCAGAAAACCAGAAAAAGCAATCTTTTTTCAATTATCTAACTCCTTATTTGAATATGATCATAACAAAAGAATAATTATTATATATATATATATATTTATTTCTTTATTTAAAACTTTCTGTCGATGAAAATCATTATTAAAACACGTTATAGATAATCTTTAATTTGCATTTATATATGTATATATGTAATTTTTTCCCTATTTTTTACTCTCAAGGACGTGAAAGATTTTACTTATAGAGAGACCTAGGCATGCTTGTGTGTATTTTATGTATGCTTAGCTCTGTCACAAAGGGAAAAATCCTTTTGGGAGTCGTTTACTAACTGAAGAAAAGTTAGAATTGCTTGATGACAAATCTTCCACTCGTGAACATCCTACAATAGAAGATGCTACGCCAGTTCTCATCAACATCAAACATATATATATATATATATATTTCTTTCCATCTTACATAGGTGTGGAATGAGTCAAAAGGTTTATATTATAAAATATTCGAAAATTTTCTTGCCTAGTTTAGATGAAAGCTGTCAAAACCATCTGATAAACATCCTATAATAGACATCAAGTAGAACATTTAACCAAATATTTATCACTATCTACCAGACGTTAAGATGACAAGTAATTACTGCATGTGTCACGATTAACAGCTGCTACACGACCAAAAAAAAAGAAGTCACTCTTTAACTTTCTCTTTTTTATTTTTTTTCTAATAATAATAATAATAATAATAATAATAATGATAATGATAATAAAAAGCTGTAGGGAATTTTTCCACGTCCTAGTTTTTAAGTTTCTTTAAAAAAATAAAAATTTAATAACATGGAAAGGAGGGAAAAATCGTTTTTAATTTTTATAAAAGGAGTTGTACATTGATCAAACTGAATACTTATTTGCCCATTCACGCTTAGATTGTCGCGTGAGGTGCCTTAGTAATCTGGTGGTGTATACTTATTACGTCATTTATGACCTGTGGCTTGTGAGAATGTGTGCTGAAGCAAGATAGCAGCCAACGTATTCAATTCCTGTCTAAGAAGTCAAATATATTGTCATTATTCCTTAGAGTTATTCGCATTTCTATTCTTACTTAGTTTACCCACTGATAGAAAAAAAGTAGGAGGTTTCAGGTTTATAATTAACATAAATAAAGAAAAGGATAGATTACGACCTCTGACGTATCCTATATCTTTAATATTATTTTATTATAATATTCTTATTTTATTGTAAATTCCGATTTTAAGAGATTTAAATTAATTCATTTCTTTTCTTTTCTAAAAATCAATAATTTAAATTTTTAGATTGAACGATAAACAAAATTAATGATCTTAATCCATCTATCTTCGGGTTTTTTTTCTTGTCAAAAAAACAGATTAATTTATAAAGAAAAATATAAAAAAAATTAATTGAGTTAATCTTAATAGAAAATAACAATTGTCAGAAAGATTAATAGGATTTATACGATTAACAGTTCTATTCTTAGAATTTGATTATGTTTTACTGCTTAAGTTTCTGTCTTACACGAAAAAAAAAATTACTTAGTTGTGTAAATCATTGTTTGTTATCTTAATGAGTTAATTTCTGTTTCTATTGATATAAAAAAATTCGTTTTATTTTTTTCCTGTGGAGTTTTAATTGTTTGCTGCACAATTATCGTCTACTTCTTCATCTCTTATCTCAATTTCTTTCAAGATTAAAATGACAATAAGGGAACTTTTAACAAGAATTTTTTTCGTATGATGCGTTAAAATAAATTACCAAACAAATAATGCGTACTACAATAATTTATTTAGAGCATAATCAAGTTATTTACATAAAGAACTATAGTCTATAATGACTACTTACAAGAAAAAACATTAATTGTAATGAAAATTGACATCATATACAAACAAAACTCAACGCAATTTTAGAAGAATAATATATAATCTTTTAAATACATAAATATAATTGTAATTAGGATTTTTTTCTGTTATTTAATTACTTCCTACCAAAACACGAAACTGCGTTGAAAGCGCATTGCTTCCAGTAGGACCTCTTGCGTTGAAGATCGCTTATATCCAAGTTATTACGAAGTCTATTAACCATCTGACGAGCGAAAAGATAATTCATAATTGCTGTTTCTGGAGATCCGTCGTCTGGCGTAAACTATAAGGAAAAAACAGAAGAAAAATAAAGGCAAAACTAAGTTAATTATCCAAGTCTGAAGATCAATTAGCGAACAGTTGTTGCTTAACAAAACTAATTACACATCAGCGGATCTGCTTTAATTTTTCTTCTCTACTTTATTAACGATCTTATTGAGTTTGTTAGCAATTATATTGAATTTTTTACGTCTTTTAATGTTAATTTGTCGTTAAAAATTAATACAAAGTAATAACTTACGTCGAGTTCATATGGTATGGCCTTTTCTTGTCCGATGCTTTTAGCATAGACGACGCAAAAAAGGGCCATCGACAAAATAGCCACTCTCAATGCTACTGGAGACATGTTATTGATGAGATTAACTGCTAAAGAAACGATTAACATCAACCATTTTGTCTTCATTTTACTCTAAATTCATTCTATTAAGCTATATCCAAAAGCTTTAACGCTTGTTCTCCGGAGAGATCTTGATAGATATAAATTTCTCAGATTAATCAGGAAGATTGATGAAGGATAATTTTGAGGATGAAAATATATTATTTAATTGAATAATTTCTTAAATTAATTTTTAAAAATTTATAAAACTTGTTTTATTATAGATTTTAATGCGATTAAACGGATTTTTTTATTTATTAATTTAAACATTTTAAAAAACAGGAAGTAACATAATCCTTTCTTTATTCTCTCGCGGGAACTGAAACTTAGTTTAGTAAATCCTTTCGCTAGTCAAGAACAAAAAGAAAAAAGACTAATTTCTAATTAGCCAAAATCTCATTAATTTTTCTTCAAATATATTACTACAAAACATTTTTGCAATAATAATAATAATAATAATACCTTTTAAGAAGAGTTAATTGTAATTATTTTGTTTAAATTTATATAAATATACATACTTATTTTAAATATTTATATAAAAACAAGAGGTAAAAACTGAGTATAAATCAATGTAAAAAGTTTTCCTGCGCTTAACTAAGTCTAGACAATAAGGATTATTTTTATTGTTAAGCTAATTAAACTTAAAGCAAAATAAGTTTAAGGATCATACCTGTTGCTGTTTACTGTGGAAATTGGTTATGGGAGGGAATGCTTTATTTCGCAACTACTTTTATACGCCCCGGTTTCGCCACGTGACCATGCAGTAGAGGAATTGATCCAAATCACGTGATGCAGGAGCGGTAATAGGATGGGACGGTCCCGATTCTGACAAATCTTCTATAAGAGTTGTCTCCTCCTATTGGTGGAAAGATACCTAGAACTTAATGACATCATTCCCAGTTTCAACTTAATCGAGTATCAAGATGGAAAGCTTTCTACAGGATTTGCTCTTAAGATTATCGGTAATATTCGAGAAAAATTCGCTAAATCGTCTTTAAGGGATTGTTAATTTCCGATTTATGAGAAGATATTTTTTAAAAATATAATTATATATATATATATATATATAAATGAATGTTTTTCTGTTAATTCATACGTTGGATATCTCACTGATACTCATATAAATCTTCTAGTTATGTTAATAACTTTTCTGTTTACAAAGTGACATCATATTAATTGTTTTGAGATGGAGACAATGGCTGAAATTTCCAGTCGTTAATCTTTTAAACATTTTCAATGTAGTGGTATGTCACTTATCAATTTTTAAAGGAAACGCACTGATTAGTTAATAAATTTACGCTTAAAAATAGATAAAACTGAAAAAATATTGTCTTATCAATTTTTATCATATCTAATTATCTTAATTTTTGAATAATTAGGAGTTTTAGGAGGAAAAAATTTTCTAGGACATTAGTAGGATAAGAAATACTTTTAAAATATTTATTATTAAAGATAGAAATAAATTATAAACCTAAAAAATTGAATTAATTCTTTTACAGTTTTAATGCATTTATCTTCGTATTCTATGCATTAAATAGTAAGATATAACACTACATTACTGAATTTTACTTTAATATTATTTATATACAATTAAATTTATATTAATTTTAATAAATAAATCAGAAGATTATTCCTTAATGTATAAAAAATGACATTTTTACTTAAATTTAATTATTTTATGTAATTATTTTTTAAAGTAAATGATGGGAAATGGATTTTAAAGTATCAGAGAAAGCTGCTTTACAAAATTAAATAATAAAAAAAAAGGTAATTTGAATTTTACGAAAAATAAATTTTTGCATTTATCTTTCTAAAACTAGAATCAATAAGATAATAATGAGATAGAAAACTGTTTAAGAACTGAAAATCTTCGCAATATTTCCTACATTACTGTAGCCGCATATAAAAAAATCTCATTAAATTGATATTCAAATGATGGGTTTTCTTATCAAGTGAAAATTGAAGCGAAAATTTGGGAATTTAGATTGTGAAGATAATCTTTTTCTGTAAAATTTTCAAACATTTATAATGTTTCAAATTAAATCACTTATTAATTTCGGTATTTCAAGGACTTTGTAAACTTGTATTAATAGTTAAAGCATAAAGTAAAGCGGGTGGAATTAATGTCTTTGAATCTGATCTTAATGACTTGTTAGTATAATACAAAACGTCAGCTGCCACGTCAAGTGCTGTTCGGTGATTATCTTTCGTAGCTAATTGAACTATCAGCCATTATAATTGAATTGGATCTTATAAATTGGTAGCCTACTTTCGCTATATATTAAAGTATCTCTAAAGTATTGTCGTTTAAAATAAAAATTTAAGCATAATCTTATTAAAATAAGTTCATTTAAGACATTTCATTACTTAATTTAAACATTTAGAATCGTTTGAAGTTGTTTTAAACGTGAATTGAAGCAATAAACTGTTGAACTCCTGTAAATGCTACTTTCCCGCATTAACAGATGCTTTACAGAGAAGTCGACTTCGCTAGGTAATGGGGAAACCCCGAAGTTTCTCATTATATTTATTGAAAATTTAAGCTCTAAAATAAATATATAATGTAAACATTTATTAAAATAAAAGATAAGATTTTTCCAAATATCTTTATGCACTCAGACAAATACATTTTTATTTTATTTAGTTTTTTTGCTTCAGATTAAGTAATCTCATCTTAAGTGCTTGGGACAAATGGCAGAAGGATTATCTTGAGAGATTTTCGTAGAAAGGATTAACTTCAAACAAAAAGGATTTTTTAAGCCGCCTATTGCAGTAGGTTTTCTGTTTATATTTTCCCAAAGAAATAATATTTTAACACATTTAAATGGCTCCAACAATTACATTAGTTTCATAAAACTGTTTTAAAAATTCACAACTAAATAGCAACGCAATTATTAATATAAGTAAACTTATTCGAATTTCTTTTATCGAATTTTATCAATATAGTCATTTTAATTGCTACAATAATCATTATTTTTTTTACTAAAAGTCTTATTCTTATCGTTAGCAAACCGTTCAACATAACATTTTAAATGTCTCATAAATCAATGACTAACAACGTTACGCCGGCTGCAATTTCACTCCTCTTGATTTATATTATCTTTGGTTTGAAATTTCACCAAAGACAACGCTAGATCAAAATTCCTTAACTCTTCTTTATTACGAGCGAATTAATAGAGTAAAGAAATAAAATAACCTGCTTATGCTAGAATATGTTACTTCTTTCCCTATCTAACCGCTATTTTCTTTTAAAAATCAAAGGTATTTTACTTAGAAATGCATTTAAATAATATAAATTTATTACATAATTTAGAAAAATAAAGATAATCATCTCTAAAATATATATAACGATAACGTTTTTGTATTATAAAATTTATTTTAAATATAGAAATATATTAAAGAAATTCTATAGATTTGCAACCATACAATAATATATTTTAAATATTTATGGTTTAATGCACTATAATCATTTATAAAGGTTTATTGTAGCAAAATTCAATAAATATTTTTATATATAATAATTGATAGGTAAATTTACATCGATAAACTGGATAATTATTTAGTTTATTATCTATACACAAGATGGCGACTGCTTATAAGAAAAATTTCGATTTATGTAAATTATTAAAAAGGAAAAAGAAGGGAAAAAAATGAATCTTGACAATTCGACAGATTTTTCCTTTTTTATTCTTTAGAAAAGTTTAATTTACTTTTTTAAACTTTTAATTAAATAATTTAAAATGATTAATTAGTAAAATAAGTCACTGTTTACACACTTTTGTTAAGGAAAAATGATTGAATTTTAACTTTTTAAAACTTCATTTTAAATATTTTTTTCTCTCCACTTTTTACTTTCTTAAAATTTAAAAACAATTTAAACATTTATTTTAAGATATTAATTTATAAGATTTTAATTATTAATTAGTTAATTTTTTGTTTCTTAATTTCTAATTTTACTTTTAAAAAATACTTAACTGTAAAATTTCTTTTTTACATTTATAAATTAGTTAAAATTTAAAACAATAGATGGAGACACTGCCCGTAATTTTATGAATCGTAAGTAGGTATCAAGATNTTATTACGAAGTCTATTAACCATCTGACGAGCGAAAAGATAATTCATAATTGCTGTTTCTGGAGATCCGTCGTCTGGCGTAAACTATAAGGAAAAAACAGAAGAAAAATAAAGGCAAAACTAAGTTAATTATCCAAGTCTGAAGATCAATTAGCGAACAGTTGTTGCTTAACAAAACTAATTACACATCAGCGGATCTGCTTTAATTTTTCTTCTCTACTTTATTAACGATCTTATTGAGTTTGTTAGCAATTATATTGAATTTTTTACGTCTTTTAATGTTAATTTGTCGTTAAAAATTAATACAAAGTAATAACTTACGTCGAGTTCATATGGTATGGCCTTTTCTTGTCCGATGCTTTTAGCATAGACGACGCAAAAAAGGGCCATCGACAAAATAGCCACTCTCAATGCTACTGGAGACATGTTATTGATGAGATTAACTGCTAAAGAAACGATTAACATCAACCATTTTGTCTTCATTTTACTCTAAATTCATTCTATTAAGCTATATCCAAAAGCTTTAACGCTTGTTCTCCGGAGAGATCTTGATAGATATAAATTTCTCAGATTAATCAGGAAGATTGATGAAGGATAATTTTGAGGATGAAAATATATTATTTAATTGAATAATTTCTTAAATTAATTTTTAAAAATTTATAAAACTTGTTTTATTATAGATTTTAATGCGATTAAACGGATTTTTTTATTTATTAATTTAAACATTTTAAAAAACAGGAAGTAACATAATCCTTTCTTTATTCTCTCGCGGGAACTGAAACTTAGTTTAGTAAATCCTTTCGCTAGTCAAGAACAAAAAGAAAAAAGACTAATTTCTAATTAGCCAAAATCTCATTAATTTTTCTTCAAATATATTACTACAAAACATTTTTGCAATAATAATAATAATAATAATACCTTTTAAGAAGAGTTAATTGTAATTATTTTGTTTAAATTTATATAAATATACATACTTATTTTAAATATTTATATAAAAACAAGAGGTAAAAACTGAGTATAAATCAATGTAAAAAGTTTTCCTGCGCTTAACTAAGTCTAGACAATAAGGATTATTTTTATTGTTAAGCTAATTAAACTTAAAGCAAAATAAGTTTAAGGATCATACCTGTTGCTGTTTACTGTGGAAATTGGTTATGGGAGGAAATGCTTTATTTCGCAACTACTTTTATACGCCCCGGTTTCGCCACGTGACCATGCAGTAGAGGAATTGATCCAAATCACGTGATGCAGGAGCGGTAATAGGATGGGACGGTCCCGATTCTGACAAATCTTCTATAAGAGTTGTCTCCTCCTATTGGTGGAAAGATACCTAGAACTTAATGACATCATTCCCAGTTTCAACTTAATCGAGTATCAAGATGGAAAGCTTTCTACAGGATTTGCTCTTAAGATTATCGGTAATATTCGAGAAAAATTCGCTAAATCGTCTTTAAGGGATTGTTAATTTCCGATTTATGAGAAGATATTTTTTAAAAATATAATTATATATATATATATATATATAAATGAATGTTTTTCTGTTAATTCATACGTTGGATATCTCACTGATACTCATATAAATCTTCTAGTTATGTTAATAACTTTTCTGTTTACAAAGTGACATCATATTAATTGTTTTGAGATGGAGACAATGGCTGAAATTTCCAGTCGTTAATCTTTTAAACATTTTCAATGTAGTGGTATGTCACTTATCAATTTTTAAAGGAAACGCACTGATTAGTTAATAAATTTACGCTTAAAAATAGATAAAACTGAAAAAATATTGTCTTATCAATTTTTATCATATCTAATTATCTTAATTTTTGAATAATTAGGAGTTTTAGGAGGAAAAAATTTTCTAGGACATTAGTAGGATAAGAAATACTTTTAAAATATTTATTATTAAAGATAGAAATAAATTATAAACCTAAAAAATTGAATTAATTCTTTTACAGTTTTAATGCATTTATCTTCGTATTCTATGCATTAAATAGTAAGATATAACACTACATTACTGAATTTTACTTTAATATTATTTATATACAATTAAATTTATATTAATTTTAATAAATAAATCAGAAGATTATTCCTTAATGTATAAAAAATGACATTTTTACTTAAATTTAATTATTTTATGTAATTATTTTTTAAAGTAAATGATGGGAAATGGATTTTAAAGTATCAGAGAAAGCTGCTTTACAAAATTAAATAATAAAAAAAAGGTAATTTGAATTTTACGAAAAATAAATTTTTGCATTTATCTTTCTAAAACTAGAATCAATAAGATAATAATGAGATAGAAAACTGTTTAAGAACTGAAAATCTTCGCAATATTTCCTACATTACTGTAGCCGCATATAAAAAAATCTCATTAAATTGATATTCAAATGATGGGTTTTCTTATCAAGTGAAAATTGAAGCGAAAATTTGGGAATTTAGATTGTGAAGATAATCTTTTTCTGTAAAATTTTCAAACATTTATAATGTTTCAAATTAAATCACTTATTAATTTCGGTATTTCAAGGACTTTGTAAACTTGTATTAATAGTTAAAGCATAAAGTAAAGCGGGTGGAATTAATGTCTTTGAATCTGATCTTAATGACTTGTTAGTATAATACAAAACGTCAGCTGCCACGTCAAGTGCTGTTCGGTGATTATCTTTCGTAGCTAATTGAACTATCAGCCATTATAATTGAATTGGATCTTATAAATTGGTAGCCTACTTTCGCTATATATTAAAGTATCTCTAAAGTATTGTCGTTTAAAATAAAAATTTAAGCATAATCTTATTAAAATAAGTTCATTTAAGACATTTCATTACTTAATTTAAACATTTAGAATCGTTTGAAGTTGTTTTAAACGTGAATTGAAGCAATAAACTGTTGAACTCCTGTAAATGCTACTTTCCCGCATTAACAGATGCTTTACAGAGAAGTCGACTTCGCTAGGTAATGGGGAAACCCCGAAGTTTCTCATTATATTTATTGAAAATTTAAGCTCTAAAATAAATATATAATGTAAACATTTATTAAAATAAAAGATAAGATTTTTCCAAATATCTTTATGCACTCAGACAAATACATTTTTATTTTATTTAGTTTTTTTGCTTCAGATTAAGTAATCTCATCTTAAGTGCTTGGGACAAATGGCAGAAGGATTATCTTGAGAGATTTTCGTAGAAAGGATTAACTTCAAACAAAAAGGATTTTTTAAGCCGCCTATTGCAGTAGGTTTTCTGTTTATATTTTCCCAAAGAAATAATATTTTAACACATTTAAATGGCTCCAACAATTACATTAGTTTCATAAAACTGTTTTAAAAATTCACAACTAAATAGCAACGCAATTATTAATATAAGTAAACTTATTCGAATTTCTTTTATCGAATTTTATCAATATAGTCATTTTAATTGCTACAATAATCATTATTTTTTTTACTAAAAGTCTTATTCTTATCGTTAGCAAACCGTTCAACATAACATTTTAAATGTCTCATAAATCAATGACTAACAACGTTACGCCGGCTGCAATTTCACTCCTCTTGATTTATATTATCTTTGGTTTGAAATTTCACCAAAGACAACGCTAGATCAAAATTCCTTAACTCTTCTTTATTACGAGCGAATTAATAGAGTAAAGAAATAAAATAACCTGCTTATGCTAGAATATGTTACTTCTTTCCCTATCTAACCGCTATTTTCTTTTAAAAATCAAAGGTATTTTACTTAGAAATGCATTTAAATAATATAAATTTATTACATAATTTAGAAAAATAAAGATAATCATCTCTAAAATATATATAACGATAACGTTTTTGTATTATAAAATTTATTTTAAATATAGAAATATATTAAAGAAATTCTATAGATTTGCAACCATACAATAATATATTTTAAATATTTATGGTTTAATGCACTATAATCATTTATAAAGGTTTATTGTAGCAAAATTCAATAAATATTTTTATATATAATAATTGATAGGTAAATTTACATCGATAAACTGGATAATTATTTAGTTTATTATCTATACACAAGATGGCGACTGCTTATAAGAAAAATTTCGATTTATGTAAATTATTAAAAAGGAAAAAGAAGGGAAAAAAATGAATCTTGACAATTCGACAGATTTTTCCTTTTTTATTCTTTAGAAAAGTTTAATTTACTTTTTTAAACTTTTAATTAAATAATTTAAAATGATTAATTAGTAAAATAAGTCACTGTTTACACACTTTTGTTAAGGAAAAATGATTGAATTTTAACTTTTTAAAACTTCATTTTAAATATTTTTTTCTCTCCACTTTTTACTTTCTTAAAATTTAAAAACAATTTAAACATTTATTTTAAGATATTAATTTATAAGATTTTAATTATTAATTAGTTAATTTTTTGTTTCTTAATTTCTAATTTTACTTTTAAAAAATACTTAACTGTAAAATTTCTTTTTTACATTTATAAATTAGTTAAAATTTAAAACAATAGATGGAGACACTGCCCGTAATTTTATGAATCGTAAGTAGGTATCAAGAT